GATAGAGGAATCAGGATGTCCCCTTGCACGAGTCACTGATCAATGATCATTTCGATTTCGACATTTGTCAAGACTGCACAGGATCTTGAAGCATCCTTCGCGCAGGCACCTCCACTCTTGACAGAGCCTCGTGATGCAGATGACTTTCTTGCTGGTCCAAAGAGTATCTCGCCCGACGACAGTTGCTCCTGAATTTGCAGCTCTCACAAAGTTAAAGAGGACCGAAGATGAGAGGATCAGGTCGAACAAGGAATAATTCCAGGCTATTCAGAATTCTAGATGAAGATAACCAAGGTGGTGAATTACAATGGTGAGGATGACGTGGGATGGGACGAGGTAACCGTTTGATGTCCGAGTCGTCGTTATAGTCTAGTACGTGGAGTTTTGCCGGTGATGACCGGCGGAACTGACCCCAAGTAGGTGGCACTAGTTCTGCTCCCTACGCCACTTTCATTACGTAGTCACAGACACTCAAACCAATCACCATAAAAATTATGGACGGCGTCATATCTGTACGCGCTCAAATACGCCCCATCCCGATACGACCTAGTCTCAGATGATCCCACTTTGTGGGCGTTCATCAGTTCTTCTTCTCTTATCAACCATTTTGTGGGTTCGTATAGAGAAATTTGGATGCCAATGGTGACATCTCAATATACTTGACTATCGTTTCGCAGCTGCAAGCTCTACTGTAGTGGTATACGACTGGGATGAGCGAGATAATACGTTCCAAGGGATCATTGATATGCACATGGCAGTATTCAAGTATCAACGTTCGGACAAGAGGTAACTTGATGTCATGACCTGCACATCTCACTAACTATGTAATAATGCTTTCACAGTTCGAACTGATCTTGGTGAGCAAAGTCCTACATTAGAACTAAACAGGATGATGCAATTGACTCGGGGTAGAGGCAACGTCAGTCCTTCATGACTGTTCTTTATATTTGCGTACGTTATTGCTACGAGCGCAGTTGGAATGTTGCGCTGACTTCAACATATGCTAGGTGCGCTACATTGGAATACTATTTGCTGCGTACGTTTACAAGGCTATCTACATAACACTGCAATGTGCTAATAAGTCATATCTCACAACCAGCATCAACATCCTGTGTATGTGTCTTCAAATGCGTTCGCTTCGTCTGACTGGCGGCATGCAGCGATTCTCCCTTTCTCGATTACCGATGTAGGTGCGTATTCTGCACCGATGCCTGCCATTCCCATTCCCGTTCAAGTACTAACTGCGCTCTGATATAGGAGTGAGTGATATTATCTACTTGCTTGTATCCTCCAGACAATGTCTTCAACAGCTGTAAGTTCATTTGAAGTATTTATTCCATCACCAGGTAACTGGTATCTCACTGGCAGGCGCTATCATATGGTACATAGGAACATGGACCCCTGTCATCGTCAATGCCATGCTGGGCGGTGAGCTATAACTCACTCACATGTGCCAATTGTGCATTCAAGCAAACAGGTTCATAATACATCGAAGGCATAAAGGTTATCAATGTAGAGTGTTTTCATATCGCACTGCGATATAATATTGTACATTACTGAGAAGTGTCTAGGTAGTAGAATCTTTGAAAGCTGGGCTCATGGAGCCTCAAGCATCGATTAGCCACTCTGTATCTACCGCTGGTCGACCAGCCTGGAAAGCACTGATAGACGTCATGGCTATTCCCCTGTCGGCCCTATTAGTAGCCACGAGCTTAGCGTGATATTCTCGAATGCTGAGGATCAGACGCGGTCCCAGCACAAACAGCTGCAATACCTCGGCGATTGACCAAAGGCCAGAGTAAACATCACTTCCCATGGATAATGAGTTCTGCAGAGAAATGGTGAGAGAGTGGTCAGCTGCAGATGCCAGTCGCAGGTTAGCACACCATAATATTTAGAGACACTGAGCCAAGTCTGAAGGAAGCCATAGCAGCAAAGCTATCACATGCGGAACTTCAGTGAAACAAGATAATAACATCCAAATAACCGAACTCACGCTAGAAAGTAAAACATGTGACTCTGTGTTAACATCTTGAAACGGTGCCCAATGGTCGATCCTGTCGGCGATTGTCGGAAGTGCTTGATAACAATCCAGGCTGTGAGAAACAAGGCGAGGATCTCCCATACAGCAGTGGATATAACACTCTCATAAGTCAGATTTGTCATGTCCATGTTCATGGAGTCAATGCATATATAGTGGTCAGAGAGGATGACCTCCTCTAGTAAATGTCCATGAGTCTCTTGTGCTCCAAGCTTTCATCAATGACTAAAACTTACGCGCCGAAACAGTCAGGTTTCCGATTACCACCATAACTCCGGAGGCGATCGTACAAGCCAGCAAGGCTACAACAAGAGAGATGAGTAACTTTCGAGATCCCAGACACATGGCATTTATCCGAGCAATCATGGTGACTTTGAATGATATTTCAGTCAAGTTAATATCAGTCAGGAAGTCATGGGTGAGCTCACCGCCTAGCATAGCATTTACGATGACAGGGGTCCATGTCCCTACGTACCAAATGATAGTGCCTGAAAACCCAGTTACTTGGTGGTGGAATAAATACTTCAAATGAACTTGCAGCTGTTGAAGTCATTTTATTGCGGACACAAGCTAGCATAGAACATCACTCACTCCTATATAAGAGCGTAGTTAATAGTTGAATGGGAATGGCAGGCGTCAGTGCAGAATACCCACTACATTGGTAATTGAGACAGGGAGAATCGCTGCATGCCCTTAGTCAGAAGGAGCGAATGCATTTGAGGACACATACACAAGATGTTGATGCTGATTGCGAGATATGACTTATTAGCACATTGCAATATTATGTAGATAGCCTTGCAAACGTACGCAGAAAAAAGTATACCAATGTAGCGCACCTAGCAGATGTTGAAGTCAGTACAACATGCCAACTGTGCTCGTAGCAATAACGTACACAAACATAAAGAACACTCATGAAGGACCAACGTTTCCTCTGCCCCAAGTCAACTCCGTCATCCTATTTGGTTCTTATATAAGGCTTTGCTCACTAAGATCAATTCGAACTGTTAAAGCATTCTTAGTGAGATGCGCAGCTCATGATATCGACTTACCTCTTGTCCGAATGTTAATGCTTAAATACTGTATACATATCAATGATCTCTCGGAACGTATTATATCACTCACCCCAATCGTATACCACCACTGTAGAGCTTGCAGCTGCGAAGCGATAGTCTCATATATTGAGCTGTCATCATTGGCATCCCAATTGCTCTCTACGAACCTACAAAACAATTGATAAAAGAAGAAGACCTGATGAGCGGGACAGCGGGAACATCTGGAACCATCGACATATTCCAGGATAAGGCGTATTTGAGATATACCCAGATATCATGATACTCCGTTCATCGCTTTTATAGTGATTAGTTCGCATCAAAAGTCGCGGAGTGAAATCACGTAGAAACGGGACGGTAGTGGAGAAGCCCTCATAGCGAGCAGAGTACATTTTTAGATCCGCTGAATTTTTGAATACCGATCAGGTTTATGCATGATCCTGACAGGACGACCTAGTTTATCATGACGGTCATAGCACATTATGGTCTACCATTACCTTAATGATAGGACCGTGACGGTCTCATCGCTGGGTTACAGCTCCTCATGCCAATCGGGCAGCTGTTTGTTGACTGCCACACGCGCGAAGGACACGAAGGAGCACAGTCGAGCTGCTGGATGAGCACGAAAGGCGGACAGCAGGGGAGAGCGCGGGAAGTCAGCGCTTCAGCTGCTGTCAGCCCTCACAGATGGTTCAAACTCCGTTTGATATCACCACCGTATCATAATGGCTGCAGCGCTGAATCCAGATCTCAACGCAAACAGGTCCCAGAAGTCTACCATATGATAGACAGGCCGTGGAGCTGCCATTTCCTGGATGTTCTCGGATCAGTTTGTTCGTTGCTAAGGTATACCAACTCGTACTCATGTGCTTTATAGCAAATTTTCAACGCAAATGGCACCAACGAAACACAACTCCAAACCGGAGTGCTCACCTGCCAGCGCCGTTTTTATGGGTAATTTTCAATGATACTTGAAGGGCCATTGACTCCCTTGTAATTGAAGGTGGATATGGCTGCCTGGGCGCCTATAAGTAAAGGTAGATATAGCACGTTGTGCCTGCATCATGGCAGAAACCACACGAAAGGAGGCTGGCAGAACCTGGCAGAACTCCATGCATGGTATCCGAGGCTCACGGAGATGTATTTTAGATATCCATCAGTAAATTACTGGGATCTGTACAGTAGACTGGTGACCAGCCCCTCTATGAGGCAAACAGTGGGGTCGACAAATCCAGAGTCTACGGACCGGTTGACATCAGTGTCAATGAGCATCGAGAGGTCCCCGTCATCCCAGGACCATCCTTGAGACATTTTCCCCTTGAGAACAGCGCTTAGGACCAGTACTATCTCAGAAGAAGCCGAAGTTTGAATTCAAATCATAAATAGGGCTGTCCGAGTGCAGGGGCCAGTGGAACGAGAGCTGATCGCTGCCGGAGTCGACGAGCAATGTTACCTGAACGACACGTTCGGTATGTAATCGAGAACTTAGCAAAGACTTATCTAATTCCCGAAAAGGCTTTTCCGTCATGTGATTACTCCAGAGCGCGCACAGTCCAAATTCAAACCCAGATTCACCAGTCTATCTGCACAGAGCTGTACATGGCGTGAGAGACAGACAGCTTGGTCCATTCTAGCCAGCTTACCACAGCAACACCTTTCCCTGTCAATCCTTGTACAGACACTCGATGGTAAACGGACTCGGAAGCCGGGGTATTTCAACGCGTAAGTTTTAATTATTCATGTTAAAGCTTTGATCACAAAAGACTCATGGACATTTACCAGAGGTCGTCCTTTCCGGCTACCATATCTGCATTATCGAATTTGACACATACATGATAGATTTGAATGTAGTACGAGAGTCTGATATCCACTGCTGTATGGGAGATCCTCACCTTGTTTCTTGCGGTCTGGATTGCCATAAAGCACTTCTAGGTGTCGCCGGTCCGCTCTCGTCGCACCCCTTCGTCAACGCCTCCTAAGCCCGAAGCGTAGCAATCCGGCTAAACGTCCAACTCTCCGTCCCATCGTCCGACAGAGTCAATATATGCGTGTGATTTCTTGTCAGAGACTGTCTGCGTGCGTCAACATCATCAGAATTCAGCATCGACAAAAAGAACCACACAGAAACGAACCGCAAGGAGATGACGATCAATCCTATCCCCAATGATTCTGCGTGCTCGTATGAGCTTTGAGTTTAGAGGTGATAGCGGGGGGGTGAGAAGGTGTAGGTGAAGGTGAGTCGGAAGAGGTAAAGGGATCCCTTGGAATACATATATCCGCGTTCTTCAGCACGGATGTGTCCTCGTCCTTTGCGGGAGCAGGGGGGAGTGGGGGGGGGGGGGGGGGGGGAGGTTGTGCAGGGTTGAAAGGAGGGTGTAGAGTCTTTTGGTAGATTTGTCGAGTTGTAGTTCAGTAGTCGAGCGAGTCGTCATTCAGTCATCGAATGCAGAATATCAGAATAAGAAAGCACGAGCAATGCAGAACACCAGAATGAGACCCATCGCTGCACACAGAAAACCCAAAACACTCACCGCCCAGTCAATCCAGCAACCTCCTGCAGATCTTTATACGCGTACATGAGTCGCTTTTCCTTGCCCTCTTCATCCATAACTCCCGCACCACGAGAGCGCTTCCTCATGATAAGCAGCGGAATAGCTATCAGCCCAGCAGCGGACCGGAGGGTTATGACGAAATCTTCCGTCCGTTCGTATGCGACGCAGATTTGTGAAGGGTATTGGTTGAGGTTTTGAAAGATAGAACTGGGATGTATGGATAAGGGGATTGGTTGGAAGAAAGCACGATAGGTGAGGATATGAGGTGCAGGAGCGTTTGATGAGAGCAGAACGTGACGGAATGATGGAGGTGTGCGAAGGTAGGAGGCAAACTCGAACATACCTTGTATACCGAATTTGCATGTTTGATCAATCGCAAGTATGCTCTTGTGAGGATATCTCGTTCGCGATCGCCCCCGTCGTAGAACGTGTATTAGTGTCAGATGATGGTCATGGAAGACAGAAGGGAGGGCACTCACTTCGCTCTCTCTCCCGACGCGCCCAACACTAGCCCTATATTCGTCTTCCAGACGGGCTTCTACAGCTGCGAGAAGGTCAAAAGCAGGTGTTACGGCGCGGTGTGTCTGGGTAAATGTTAGTGTTGTTCCTAGGATATTGTGGTCGACAGACCTTGGCAGTAATATAAGACGAGGAATGTAGAGTGAGCGGTGAGCAGAAGTGCTTCACGGGTGTAAAGCGAAGGGAGGACTATGCGCAGGAGCCAACGAAGAAGACCAAGTCCTGGACTTGCATTCACGGGCGAAAAGTGAACAGCGTCAAATTTGGCCAGCTCGCTTTGACTGTGCGTTGGTACATTTGACGTGCTCAAGCTTGACTTGTCGCATACCTCATGCATATGGGCATTATGAGGGTGTAATGCTGAGACGCGCTATCATGTATTACTGATGGAGTTATTCTGAGCGTTGGATTAAGCGGTGATAGCAATACGTGTTGGTGATGCAGTGCCTGCTTCCCACTGGAGCAGCGACGTCTACGGGCGTCTACGTTCCCAAGTGACAAGCGGAGTGTGAAAACAACGTTTGATTACGTAAAATTACATGATGCAGCACAGGACGTACTTATGTTTAAATCCTAGCAGCACCATCTGGGCATCATTTTCATGTTCTCTTGAATTCAAACTGTGTTATCAGATATCTAAATTACATCTGGATACCATGGAGGTTCTGCCACCGTAATTTTTGCCAAGGACCAGGCACAACATGCTGTATCTACTTGTACTTCTAGAGGCGCCCAGGCAACCCACATCCCTCTAATTACAAGGGCTACGTGGGAGTCACGAGTACGAAACACTGCTGGTACGTTTTCGCTACTATTTGGCACTGCCTGAATGCCAGTGGTGGACCGTGGCAGCTACTAGTAGTGGCGTGGTAACAGGGCACCTGATTTCATTGAATTCATCCAACAACATTTGCTGTGATTCTCATTCGAGAATTAGGCACCGGCTAAACTAATTACTATATTTAAAAGCAATCATGATGGGCGGCGGTATATCATATATCTGCACACAGCTGCACATACTCAAATCACACGCCCCATCCCAATATGACCATAATCTCAGACGATCCCGCTTGGTGGCCGACCATCAGTTTCTGTCGTCTTTACAACTATTTTCTAGGTTCGTAGAGAGCAATTTGGATACCAATGGTTTGTCATCTCAATATTTTTGACTATCGCTTCGCAGCTGCATGCTCTACTGTGGTGATATACGACTGGGGTGAGCGAGATAATATCCTCCGAGGGATTATTGATTTTTATACATTATTCAAGCACTATCATTCGGACAAGAGGTGAGTTGATGTCATGACCTGTACATTTCACTAAGAATGCTTTAACAGTTCGAACTCATCTTGGTGAGCAAACTCCTGTATCAGAACCAAATAGAACTATGTAGTCAACTCGGGGCAGAGCCAACGTTGGTCCTTCATGACTGTTCCTTATATTTGTGTGCGTTATTGCTACCAGCGCATTTGGCATGTTATGCTGACTTCAACATATGCTAGGTGCGCTACTTTGGAATACTATATTCTGTGTACGTTTGCAAGGCTATCTACATAACTGCAATGTGCCAATAAACTATCTCTCGCAACCAGCATTAACATCTTGCGTATGTATCTTCACATGCATTCGCTTTTTTCTGACTGGCGGCATGCAGTGTTTTTCCCTGATATCTGGATTTCCGATTCCGTGCGTATCCTGCACCGATGCCTGCCATTCCCCTAACTACGCTCCTACATAGGGGTAAGTGATGTCCTCGGTCACGTTGTGTCTTCAAGGTGACGATTTCGACAGCTGTGAGTTCATTTGAAGTATTTATTTGATCACCAAATAACTGGGGTTTCAGGTACTATCATTTGGTACATACAGGCGTGGAACCCTGTCATTGTCAATGCTATGCTGGGTGGTGAGCTCACCCGCGGTTTTCTTACTGATATTGACTTGACTGGAATATCATTCAAGTTATCATGATTGCTCGGATAAATGCCATGTATCAGGGATCCAAAAAGTTATTCATCTTTCTTGTTGTAGCCTTGCTGGCTTCCACGATCGCCTCCGTAGTTATTATGGTTATTGCAAACCTGGGTGTTTCAGCGCGTAAGTTTTAATTATTGATAAAACTCTGGAGCACAAGAGACTCATGGACATTTACCAGAGGAAGCCGTCCTTTCCGGTTACCATACCTGCATTGCCAATATTGACACGTACATGATGTATCTGATTTTCGACAGTGTGATATCTACCACTGTATGGGAGATTCTCGCCTTGTTTCTTACGGTCTGGAGCACTATAAAGCACTTCCGTGAACTACAAAAATCGCCGACAAGTTCGACCATTGGGGACTGTTTCACAATATTGATAGAGAGTCACACGTTTTACTTTCTAGCGTGAGTTTGGTGATTTGGATATTACTATCTTGTTTCACTGAAGTTCTGTATTTACTAGCTTTGCTGCTATGACTAGCTTCACGCTTGGCTCACTATCTCCAAATATCACGGTGCGCCGACCTGTGACTAGCATCTGCAGCTGACCACTCTCTCATCATTTCTCTGCAGTACTCATCACACATGAGACGCGTTAATTACTTTGGCGTTTGGACAATTGCCCAGATGTTGCAGATGTTTGTGCTGGGACCGCGTCTGATCCTCAGCGTTCGAAAATCTTACGCCAAGGTCGTGGCCAGGGCCGACGGGGGAACAGGCATGACGTCCATTGCTTTCCATGCTGGTGGAGATGCGTTGACCTGCGGAGATGAGTCGACTTACGGAAAGGTGTAGCACACAAAACGATCCCCACGTGGGTACTGCGCGGGGAACATCCTTTTTTTTCGTTGTGATATTTAGCCTCGTCACGCTGTGTATTTCGTGTTCCGATGTACGATATAATTTTCTTGAGCATGGGTATTCATTTGTTTCGTTGTGATAAGCTTCATCCCGCCATGTAGTTGGTGTTTCGAATTGTGATTTGGAGGATCGTACTTACTTTCTGCTAATTGGGTCACGGAGTCCCCTCTAGATACAAAGTGGGCCAGTGGCTAATGCGGGAAGCTCCATGAGCCCTTCAATGATTCTGCTATTTGGAGACTCAATATTATATCGCATTGCAATATGAAAACACTCTACGTTGATAACCTTTGTGCCTTCCGTGCACTATGCACCAGTTTGCTTGAGTGCATAATTAACAATAACCACACGTGAGCGAGTCATATACTTAATTAATCGGTATCGAGGCCCCAGTAGAAACAGATAGGCTAACTCGTCCGATAACAACTACCGCAGTCTTAACGTACGACAGATAAGCTTAGCGGCACCACACCTTGCTACCAGATCACCAGACCCTGTGTCTACACCCAGTCCACATATATGCCAGCCTATAATAACTATGTCACATCAGAAGGCCATCGCCCCACCCGCCCCATATACAATATCTTGCGCCCCTCCCTCACAAAAAACACTCAACCTAAGAAGGAACCAACACATCACTTCGCCTTCAACTCCTCCCCAAGCTCCCTCACCCTCTTCTCCCACACATGCGACTCCTCAATCCGTGCTTCTAGCACACGTATCTCTTCGTGGACGCGCGCGAGGTATTTGGCTCCCGTGTCTTCTGTGCGTGCTGCCGCTGGTTCACGTTCGCCACCCCCCGCGGTTGATTCGCTTTCACTAGGCGGTGTCGCCAGCCCACTCTCACTACGCCCCTCCGTCGACCCCTCCTCAGTCCGAGGCGTAGCAATCCGGCTAAACGTCCAACTCCCTGTTCCATCACCCGTAAGAGTCAATATGTGTGTGTGGTACTTTGTCAGGGACGGTCTGCGTGCGTCAACATCATCAAGATTCAGCATCGACAGAAAGAAAAACACAGGACGCACCGCAAGGAGACAGTGATTAATGTTATACCTAATGATTTTGCGTGCTCGTACATCTGGCCTTCGACGTCAGAGCTCACGGCAGATGTGCATTCTGTTGCGTTTTGGATTAGATCAGATACCAGGGATAGACGGATGAAGGCAAGAGACTGACCATCTAGAATCGCGAATTTGGGACGATGGTAGAAAAGGCGAGCCATTGCCAGCTGTTAACAAGGATATCAATACCAGTCTGTCACGTTCCAATAATCCCTCAAACAAAACAAGATCCAATACCAAAAAAGAACGAGAGAAAGAAAAGCCAAACATCAAAAGAAAGAAAGAAAGAAACACACCCTCTGCTTCTCCCCCCCACTCAACACATCCCTCCACTCCTTAATCGCATCCCACCCACCCTCTCTATTCACCAAATACCCAAGATGAGCAGCATCCAGTAAGCTTTCGAGCTCTGACAGCGCTGCGAAGGATGCTGTGAACTCGGAGACGGAATGTGGGTATATGACTTGGGATAGGAGGGACCCTGAGGGGTGATAGGGACGTTGTGGGATGACGAATACGCCTGGGCGGCCGTCTGGGTCGTCTATGGGACGCGTAAGTGCGCCATCAGTGTCCATCGAGCCCCTGAGCATCGAACGACTCCCAGGCGCCCACAGTCCCGCCAAAACACGCGCAACAGCCGTCTTCCCAACGCCATTTGATCCCGTGATCATGAGGTGCATACCTGGTCGGAGCGTGAGGGTGAGTGCGCGGACGAGAGTGGTGGTATCTGGCCCTGAGAGGGTTTCTGAGGAGGCGGGATCCGAGGATGGGGGTGGGAGTGGGATTGGTTCAGCGTGAGCTTTGAGTTTGGAGGTGGTAGCGGGGGGAACGAGAAGGTATGGGTGAGGGTGAGTCGGGAGAGGCAAAGGGATCCCCCGGAATGCATATATCCACGTTCTTCAGCTCGAATGTATCCCCGTCCCCTGGGAGTGCAGGGGGGAGTGGGGGGGAGGTTGTGTAGAGTCGAAAGGAGGGTGTAGAGTCTTTTGGTGGATTCGTCGAGTTGTCATTTAGTAGTCGCATGAGTCGTAATTCAGTCATCCAGTAAAGAATATCAGAATAAGAAAGCACGAGCAATGCAGAACACCAGAATGAGACCCATCAATATACGCAGAAAACACACCAAGCACTCACCGCCCAGTCAATCCAGCAACCTCCTGTAGATCTTTATATGCATACATCAATCTCCCACCTGCGTCTGCGAGGGAGAGGAGGAGACGGCGGTTGGAGATGTAGGCTATGTGAATTTGTCAGTTGTGTTTGCTCGTTGGGAGATATAAAACGAAAAGGGGACGAGGATCAAATCCATGGCACACCAAGCACTAAAACACTCACTTTCTGTCCTGGCAGCAACGATGTCATCCGTGTCGCTCTTCCGCTTTCGTCCCCGCTTTCCCTTACCCTCACTCTCTCCATCCACGACACCCACATCACGAGAGCGCTTCCTCGTGATAAGCAGCGGCACAGCTATCAACCCGTACCCAGCTGCAGACCAGAGGTATTTGATGACGAAATCTTCTGTCCATTCGTATGCGATACGGATCTGTGAAGGGTATTAATTGAGGTTTTGGGAGATGGAAGGGGTGGGTTTAGGATGAGGAGAGATGTATGAAGAAGGGAATTGGATGGAAGAAAGCACGATGGGTGAGGATAGGAAATGGAGTATATCATATGAGCAAAGCGGTGAAGATGTGCGAAGGTAGGACGTAAACTCGAACATACTTTGTATATTGAATTCACATGTTTGATCAATCGCAAATACGCTCTTGTGAGGATATCTCGTTCGCGTGCGCCTCCGTCGTAGAACCTGTGTTGTCGTTAGATGAAACGACAAGCATGGAAGACAGAACGAAGAGCACTCACGCGACTTCTTCGCTCTCTCTCCCGATGCGTCCTACACCAGCTCTGTATTCACCTTCCAGACGGGCTTCTACAGCTGCAAGACGACCAAAAGCAGGTGTCACAGCGCGGAGGATCTGGGTGGATGTTAGCGTTGTCCCTAGGATATTGTAGTCGACAGACCTTAGCAGTAATGTAATAATTGATGAAAAGAAGTATGGTGCCTCTGAAGCCGAGAGACCTTGCGAGTTGGGAGGTGAAGAGAAGGAGGTCCAGGGAGGGTTTCATGAGATTGCCACTAGGAAGAGTTAATTCTGTTTATGCGGAGGGAGGAAGGACATACTATATACCAGAGACGCTCTCTGCCCAAGCGTCAACGTCTGCTGTGATGTATTGGTCGATGCCATGGAGGGGAACGCGGTAGTAGCGGAGATGGGGGGCGGGGGAGAGGTAGAGGTCGTGGATGTATCGAGTCAGGCGGGTTCTGAACCTGAGGGAGAGTGTAGATTGAAGGTGACGGATCTGAAGAGAGCATAAACGGGGATAAAAGAGAGTCGGGGAGGATACGTACCATGGAATTTGTGTATATGCTTGGTATAGCGAGTGCAAACCATAGAGCGAGGCCAGTCAAGAATCCCTTGCCATCGGCACTAACCAAGTCCCTTACTATGCGACCGTCTAGGCGTGCGACAGCTATGCTCAGCACTGTACGAAGAACGAGGAAAGTAGAGTGAGCAGTGAGCAGGAGCGCTTCACGAGTGTAAAGCGAAGGAAGGACTATGCGCAGGAGCGAACGGAGTTGATGCACAAATGGAAGACCAAGCCCTGGACTCGCATTCACAAGCGGAAAGTGAACAGCATCAATGGCAAGTTCGCGTTGACTGTGCGTTGGTAGACCGAGAGCATTCGATGTGCTCGAGCTTGACTTGTCTGTGAAGGGTTTTAAACAGTCTAGACCGAAGAATGAGAACTGTTGCGAGCAGAACAAGTAATGGTCGGCGCGATGACTGGTGTCGAAATAGTTCGTTGAGGTTGAGCGGTTTCGAGAATATAGCCATGCTCGCTGTGCGTTACAGCGAGCAGCGCAGGGGAACTTCATCATGAACCGCGCATCAAACAAGCATGTGATTACCCGATCGGTTAGCAGTGTGACTTGTTCATTGAATGTTTGCACTTTTGTCTGAGCCGCTAGTGTCCCTCAAATTCCACTATCTCTGCAAGTTAGTGCACAACTTAGGCTGGTTCGTGTAAAATGTGTAACTTCAAGCTTCGAGGGGCATACTTGGAGTCGGAACTTGCTAGTAAGTTATGTTGCATGAAATGAATGATTCACCCGTACTTCAACTACTTACATTCATACAATGATATCAACCACAGACTCGACAAGTCCCCTCTTTGCAAAGTCAACACGGTGCTGTCTAGCATTAGTAGTAATAGACACAAATGCACTAAACTGCACGGACTCTATAAGTCGCGCGTCCGATCTCATATCTTCGACCATCTCACCGTTGAAATTGGCAATTCTCACCTGGTCATGCCTGCAAGGACGGAACCCTTAGAGCACTACGCTTGGACATGCAAAGCACCTAGCAACGTAAGGGATTGGCCGAGTGAATACCTGATGCAGAGCCCAGGCCGGTCATGATGACTGGACAAAGACCTCCAAAACCCTGTCGAATCTTGGTGTCAAGTAATTCAACACCCATGTCAGTCTTTACTCGACTCTCCAAATCGAGTTGACCTCCATCGATGTGACTTATCTCTAGCAAATACCTCGATACTGGTGTTCACCCGATGCTGTAACAGATAATGGATTCGCCTCTAAACGGATGTGGTTGATTCAACGACAATGGACTCACGCGCGCGTTACATGGTCCACATCCACTAGTAACCTCCGCAAAGCGTCCCTATAAGAATTCCACAAGCGTCTGTCCACCACAAACCACAATGGCATGTCCACCGCTGGGAATCGTTTATATACCTCCCTAAATACCTACCCAGCACCATCATCACCCCAAGTTGAATCACGCATTCACCTCACACATAATAAAGCAGCATTCCCCACTCATATTCGTCTATAACCAATCATGTCTAGTGTAAGCCTAATCACGCGCATATCTCATGCGCTAACTTGAAGACTGACTCTTGGAAATATTTAGCTCCGAACCTGCTCTGAACCTGGCTGCAACGAAACATTTACCAAGTTCGTCGACTTCAAGAGACACGAGGCCGCACATTCAGTAAAGTACGTATTTCTCCTGTATGGTATACAGCTGACCTCACCTACATTCGGTCGCGCAGGGGGTACATCTGCACCTGGCCCGGGTGTGACTTTGCGACAATGATTGCATCTAGCTATGAAATCCATTATGCTAAACAGTACGTGCCAGTTCATCACCGTCGTTGACTCTCCTGAGCAACAATTTTATTTTAGTACGGGCGAGAAACGCTACGTCTGTCCCAACGATGGTTGTGACTACAAGACTCACGACCCTGCTCTCTTCACGCGCCACCGCCAGAAAAAACATGGGTACGTCCCTCAGGCGCGCGGTCGTGGTGCCCCCTCCGCAAAAGGGTCCAGCGGGACCAAGTCATCGTCCCAGCCCCCGGCACAGCCTCCCCCTGGTACATTCCACCAATACCAACTCGAACCCATGCAACAACAACCCATACTACCCCCGACCCATCCAAGCGCAGCCCGTGCAGCCACAACCCATACCACCCCGACACACGCCATTCTACCCCACCCCATACAAACCCCAACCCACTCAATACCAGCCTCCCCCACCTGTCTACAACCCGTCGTTGGGAGTCTTCTACGACTCAGGAGATACCGCGGACGACTATACCATGTATACCAGTCCCGCCAGGGCTCCCAATGGGTGGACTGAGGGATGTATGTGTCCTGAATTGATGCAGAGACGCCCTTCGGAGATGCTGGGCCCTAAATATGGGGGTTATTAGTGTTGCATGATCTCGAGGCTCGAGAATTGTTTGTGTTTTTTTTCTTGCTTGATGATGTTTTTTTCGTTCGTTTGTGTGTGGACTCTGGGCACCCTTGCATTCATTTGTACATCTCATTTATCACTTATTTATGTAAAAGCACTTTGTGATGTTTTGTCTATAGATACACTCTTTTATCCATGTAACAAGAATAAGGTAGATACGTATAGATATATACAGATCGAAAAAAATGCAAGGCAATGAATGTTTTCTGCACAATGTAAGATAGGCCTTACGTAAGTCATGTTTGGTGTATACCTAGCCTGTATGTTTGAAATTTTCACCACTGCACAGTGCATGCAGCACACCGCGCCATTTTCACCTGGCCAGAAGCAAACCTTGGCACGTCAAGTCTGCGACTCTGCGCTTCTTCTGCGGTCGACCTCTAGTCACTCGTTTCGATTCCTATCAACTTTTTATCGCTCCATGCCCATAGTACCTAGGGTGCAAGAAGGAGTTACTAGTCCCCAGTGTTGTTATTAACCCGGGTTATAACTGAATAGGTTATAACTGGTGCGTCTTGATTTGAATTAACCGCGAAATAACTGGGGTTAATGGGGTTAAAAACAGTTAATTACTTCAAAGTGCTAGCTACTCTGAGTCGTCAATAACGATTGAACTCGATGGACTATTTCCCATGCCTGATGACTCCCCTGGGACATTCCTACTAGTACTTTTTTCATCCTCGGGCAGGCGTGACATTAGCTCGTAGAATAAAGCCTCACTCTCTATGTTTTTCACACCCTGGAACCAAAAATCATCCCATCCAACCTCAACAGACCAATTGAACATGTCGCAGATGCGAAACATTAGGGGAGCTCACACCTGGGAGCTTATGGTTTATGCTTATCCGTGCTTATGCTTACAACCCCCCAGTTTGCGCAGACGCAGATTATATAATACACAGTACCAAGTTGTGACTGCTTGTCATCAATTAACAACTTGCAAGCAAAGATGGCACAAATTTCTCTCCATGAGCACTGAGCAGTATCTACATGCATATATGTTGACAATGGTTCTCCGTAACCTGGCAAATCCAGAATTATCCCCCGAAGAGGCTGCGGTGCTCCTGGTCGAAGAACTACTAGCATTTCAACAGATGTAACTAATTAAACTAAATCTAAACATCTGTGAACTAGCATTAAAATTAACCATAAAAGCATAAAGCAAGTGTAAAGCAAGTGATAAAAGCAAGTGGTAAAAGGAGTCACATGGTGAACGAGTGTATTGAAGAGCGTTGAAAAATTAGAAGGGTATACAGCCAGGGGACTTAGGAATCATCTTCGTCAAATTCATCCCAGTCAGGAGACGATGCGCTGCTTTACCTTGTCCAGAATATCCTGAGACAGCGCTGAGGAGATCCAAAAGTGAATATTACTTACTTCCTTCTTGTCCCGCTTCCCCAGTAAAACAAGCCTGTTCTTGTCTTTCTCGACCTCTGACAGCAAGTTCCATGTCATATCCACGGACCAGTGGACATTGGGAATAGGAGGGGGGGTGGAAGGTCCTTCTTTCTCATGACGCTAATGAGACTCGGATGATCAATAATCCACTGGCAGAGCGCTCGACATTGGCGTTCACGGCGCTCACCGAATATACTGGACGCGACAGCGCATGTAATGTATTTTGGTTTGTTTATACCCATGTACAAATCAGATAGTATTGGGGGGTGTAAGCATAAGCATGGATAAGCATAAACCGTAAGCTCCCAGGTGTGAGCTCCCCTAATCTCTTCTGACTGAAGAAGCAACGAATTTGTCGCTGCCTGCTACTTTCCGAATCCGAAATGCCTGAGATGTCATCCTCAACCTCAACTACTTGTCCTAACCCCGATATGTATTCCTTTTGCCATGATTTCGACCTTTCCGGCAATATATAAGGGACATTGAAAGTTCTGACAGCCTGCAGTATTCCGTGTGCAACAGCCTGTTGATCAGCATTTGCGAGATCTTTAGCCTGCACATTGACACAATATTTACAGCGTGCTTGCCAGTGCACTTTGTCAACCTTCGCAGTCCCCTGATGAAAATGATCCCACATCCAGGACTTCTCCCTACCCATCAGAGCGGCTTGGAGAGGTAATACAGTCCCAGGACGCTGGCACAGAGAGAATCGGAGAGATTGATGATAACGATTAAAAGTTTGGTGACCCCCAATTAACCCAATTAACTCCTAGTACACTAACCCTACTAACCCTCCCAAAATCACAGATCCATTTAACTAACCTCTTAACCGGTTATAACCGGGTTAAGTTATAACTGATTTAACGGGTTAGTAACAACACTGCTAGTCCCTGAGTTCTCGTTGCGTTTCGGGTCATCCTTACTAAGTTACGAGACTCCGATCGGCCTCCCTGAGGTGCGTTGCTCATAATTTTCCATCCCATCCGCTCATCGCCTCACTCGCAATCTCAGCCTACCCAACACTTCATCGCCTCCTAGTGCCTATATCAATCCCTCCTCTGCAATCCCGACAAGCCCTAATACCTGCAGTTCGGCGTGTTCCCGTATATACCAACACCATCATCGCTTGCTCCTCTATACAAACTCCAAAGTACTCCAATACTCAGCAGGACCTGCTCCGTAAGCACAATCGTTTGGATAAATCCGAGTTCAGTCGGACCGTCTGGGCCCCGCACGTTTCTCGCTATTTACCCTCGTCATCCCAATTCGAATGTAGTCGATGGTACTGCAGCACCGGATCCGCTTGGGCTCAATGATTGATAAACGAGCCACAGTCCTGCTAGAGGTACTCAGTGCGTAACCCTGGAGCAGCTAGGATGAACGGGAGTGCTGTGCTGAAAGGGTGCACATGAGTTCAGTGGTCAAATAGGGCCGCCTACTTGCGATAGCATCAGCGAGCAGACTTCCACCAGCCGCTACAATCTCGACAGCACTACTGAGATCCAGTACATGAACCTTAGTGTCGGGGAGAGATCTCTACTCATAGTTCACCAAAAGCTCTTGTATGACCTATATCCACTTCGCAACTTACATAAATAAGTACCACGACAAAACCTGGAATAAATAAAAAATGTATTCTCCCGCTCCCTGCATACTACCCACTCATCGCGAATCATATCGAGCATCTCCCGCGCTACACACTACTACTAGTTGATACATGGGCGCGCCCCTGAAAAGAGATTGAAGTCATAGCGGTTGCTGTATCAGAGTTGGCCACAAGCTTAGCGTGATATTCCCGAACACCGAGGATGAGACGTGGTCCCAGCACAAACAGCTGTACGAACTGGAATATCTGACTGAGACCGAGAAAAATCTGAGTGTCCAGGGAATGTGTCCTATAGAAATGATGGATCATGGTCGCGTGTAGAGGTCAGTGACAGATCAACATACCGCTGAGAGTGTTGGAGAGAATAAACCGATCTGGAAACAAGGGATAGCAAAAAAACTAGCATGTGCAAAACTTCAGCAGAAAAAGAGAACCACATTCAGGTTATGAGCTCACCTTGCAAAGTAACTCACATGAGTTTTCATTAACACTGTGAAACAGTCCCCAATGATGCCACTTGTTGAGTGTTGTCGTAGTTCACGGAAGTGCTGTACAGCAATCCAGACCGCGAGACACAGTACAAGGACCTCCCACACAGTGCCAAGTATCCAAGTCATGGAATCCAGAAGTAAGGAATCTCCTGCGTAGCCAATGATGCACTGATAGGTGCCAGAGAGAACGAATTCCTCTGGTATTTGTCAATGAGCTTGATGCACTTAATTATCTCATCAAATAATTAGAGCTTACCCCCTGCAACCTGCATCGACATTATTACAACCACCACTGCGCTGGCGATTCTGACGGCCAGAAAGATGACAATGAGAAATATCAACACCTTTCTGGATCGCTGATACATGGCATATAACCGAGCGATCATGATGACTTGCATGATGTTTCAGTCAAGTCAATATCACCGAAGTGTATAACTCACCGCCCAGCAGTACATCTACAGCGTCACCCATCCAATCAAGTGCGTTGTAAATGATAAGGCCTGACAAATCCAGCAAACATTAGTTATCAGCTTCGGAAGATCACAGGCTCAGAACAAACTCACAACTGTGGAAGTCGTTATGTTGAATCAACGACTTGTTCGAAAGTCTCACTCACTCCTGCATGGTAGTTCAGTTGTTTGGACGGAAATGGAAGGCATCAGTGTGGAATTCTCACTGCATCTGTCATCGAAATTGTTGGAACATTGGATGTATGCCGCCCGTCCAGAATCTATGCGAGGATACATACCCAGTATGTCTATCCTGATTGTAAGAGATGGGTAATGAGTACAACACCAATGGCCTCAACATCCGGACGTACACAGCATATCCTATTCCAGCATAGCGCACCTTGGGTAGTCAACGAAAATTGGACTTGCTAAGCATAAATATTGAAACACGAGGTACATACAATGCGATAGAGAAAGGTCATTAGGGACCGGCGTTGCCTCTGCCGTAAATTAGTTGTTTCACATCGTTCTTTTGATGTGGGAGTCTGCTCACCCAGATCAGTTCAACCTATAACACAATTCTAAGCGAGGTAGCTGCCCCAGTAATGGATCGACCTACCTCTTGTCCGAACGTAAGTCCTAGAAATACTGTAATGATGTCAGCGGTCTTTTCATATTTGGTTTTGCTCACCCGAATCGTACATTACCCCGACAGAGGTGGCAACTGCGAAATGGCAGTGAACGTCAGTCATTGTCATCATGCTGCTGACTCTCCACAAACCTATGGAATAGCTGCCAATAATATTCGCATTGACGATTGGCCACCAACTGGGATCATTCGAGACTAGAGTCATATTATTAGAGGATGGGAGTGAGCGAGCGGGGGAACTTGGTAGACGTATAACGATCGCATTCGCACTTGATATACCACAATCCAGCGTTTACATCGCCAAACTGGGATTTGAGGGATGATACCTGATTGATCGAAGTAAGTGTTTCAGCCTGAATTCCAGTAGAAAGACAATGTGCATCCAGGGATACCGATGGTATCAAGGTAACGGCATTCTTGCTATAGTCGAGTGAGGGGTTCCGCCTCGGTTCATCAACGACACAAGTGATCCAACGCAGGCGCCTAAGTTGACCGCGTGGCAGACATCATCAATTACGACACGAGCAGAATCCACAATCTTTCTTCAAATTCATGGACACGTTGATTAGTATAAATACGACCCAAAGTACATACATGTGTCGTATCCAATTCCCTGTCATAAAACACGATCGACGTGTGGAGTGACGAGGGCAGTCGCACAAAGAAAGCATGAGGTTGTACAAAGAAGGGGGGGAAGGCGCAGTTGTACAAAAGAGGTGTTTGTTGTGCAAAGACAGAACGATCAAGTGATGTGGACAGGAACGGAGGCAATAGGAATAAAAGTGATGACGAAGGGGCGGTGACGGCACACACTTGAATGCGAAGTTAATGAACGTGTGATGACTCCAGTTTGGTAGTTGATAAGTATGTAATGATGGGATGGGATTGATGCAATGGTAGATAGATAGATGAAGGTCGTCAACGAGCCTGAGGAGCAAATAGCCGGTTGGGGGAGAGAGGATCGGAGAGAAATCTCCTGTTCATTGAAGGGAGAATTGCCTCCATCCGTAAAAAAAAAACCCCGTCCCAAGGAGACGTAGAGACCGATATTGATGAGATAAAGAGACCGATGAATAGGGAGTGTGAAGTGCGCAACTCGTGGCACGAACGAGAGTGACAGTGGCCACTTAAAGAACGAAGGAATGTGCAAGCGTGCATTATCACGCATGATAATAGCGGACGAACGAGCGAGTGTGTGGGCGTGCTAGGAAATACAGAACAAAATATAGATCGTCAGCATATACAATGTGAGGGAAGCGCGCGTGGACGCGTCTGGATAGCGAGCAGAGGTGTAGCAGGTGTACTCGAGGAAATGAAAGGCGTACTCGGGGATGTAGTCACAGGAGACTCAAGGGATACCGCAACAGGAGATCTGATGGGAGACGACAGTGGGATACTTGATGGAGGCTATGGAGTCGCCTGTGGATACGGGAGTTAACGTTCAGGACTAAACATCCTCAGAAGGGTCTCGCATGAGGTTGCGGCGGATCAGGAAAACCCTCCCGCATAAACGTACTACAACTCGTGCCTTGGTGGATATTTGTTGATTGCCCGAGCGCTGGGACAGGTCTAAGAACGACCGAATTGACATATACAGCAAGTACTTGTGGCAGACCAACAGCGTCCGCATAGCATGACGCAATCTGATGTATAGCCACCGAACCGGCGGTTATTCGTTGGCGGAGATGCGTTTCAGCGCTAAGGTGACAGAGCTTTTGTGATGCTGACACTCTTGCACAGGTTGTTCTCGGCTTATATCACCAAGACTATTCGTACAAGGCATTTAAATCGTCAAGTGTGTTTCACAACCTTGACCTTCCCGGTACCGGGTCATTCTCTTCGATAATGTGGTCTATTGTCGAGATACCCCGAAATAAACTCCTGTTGCAATGATCAAATAAGTGCCTGCGCTCCGCCCAGGAATTCGAACATACCGTTCAGGGTTTGGCTCCACAAGGAACTTCAGCACGTCCCTACATTGACCTTGAAAATCGAACATCACAAATCAGGGTAAGCCTTGGGTAAGTGTAGGTCACAAATACCGAAATCAATACTATCAAGTTTGGCGACTTGTCTGAAAATGTCCTCCAAATTCAAATTATCTGAATCATCTAATGCTGAACTCCCAACAGGGGAAAGCATGTCGGAAAGCAGTCCGATCTTGCTCCCAGTAGGTATAGAGGCTTTGATGGGAAGTCAATCTCCCTTGGCCAGACCTAAAGAAACAAAGACAACTAAGTAGCCGTACCACCGTAGCTAGTACCAGTTGAACGGTTCAGGTTGTTCAAGGTGAACATGTGCATAAATTTAAAGTTTTAAACTTCAAACATGCTTTTGCGCGGAGATTCAAATATTCAAATACGATGTCCTCCAGCCTCTGGCCAGCGCTCCAGCGTTATCAATCACAATAATAATATTCCGCCTTGAAGGTGACGCTCAATCGAACTTTCACAACTTGTATGGTTTGCCCCCCATCTTTTACACTAATCTGCACCTAGCTATGATCCCCGATCAACCTCTGCCGACTCATGATGTCCAGCGGGTCGATATGCCTACCAAATTGTCATTGATGAGTCCTGAATATCGTATAAACGTGCAATAGTGTGCGTGGAGTTCTCCATAAAATCCCGCGGACAAGATGATTAATATTACGGTCCTACGGATACACTAGTCCGATGTTGGGACATTGTCTTTTCATGGATGTAGTAACTAGTTCATGTATCGGCATTTTCTACCTTTCCCGCCTCAGGGATCCCCGCAAAGATCATAGCCTCTGCGATACTATGGACGCAGTCTCGTTCGCATTGTGGGCTCACTCTCAGATAGCAGTCTTTATCGCGGGATGGCACATTATTCAGACCAACATAGCTGTTCAACAGTTCATTGCGAAGCTACTATGACTTTACTTTTAAAAATTGAAGTATGAGAATTTGCTCCGGCATGGCGGGAGGGAAGGCGTCGATGATGAGAGCATTGAGAGGGCAGGATACGTGAGGAGGATCCTGTACGTACCACTACATACCACCCTGTATGCATCTGCGCCGGAAATCGTAGCAACAAAGCTAACAACAAAAATCATTATGAGTGACACCGAAGGAGTCATCTTAGACCGTTCTTGTTGAAAAGGGCCTCAAATAGGTTCTTTGATCGCTCTTGTAGTTTTATTCTGCTCATTGAAAGAATCATCTCTACAAGAACCTGAGTATGTCAAATCTGATTTTTATCAAGGCGGTGGAAACCTTGCACAAAAGTAGTGGTCTCAGAGTGATCGGCACCTGTGATAGCATTGGTGCTCAAGGCAGGAAACACGCACCATCGCTCTTTCCATATGTTTAGTATGTAATCCCTTCGAATGGGTCCTGGGCCAACCTGTCTCAGATCTGGCTCCATTTGTGCAAAATCCCAATCACTGCAAGATTGCATATATATTGTCGCTCCTCAAATGTTCATCAATAATCACACTCAACCTTTAGCCGCTCACCCTGTATCAACAACATGCCAACAACCCACCACTGCCAAGTTTGTAGGTACCCCGGCTTTTGCAAGAGGCATCAACTGAAATGCCCATTCCATAAAAAAGTCTTTTACTACAAAGATACTACTTATGGACAACCTCAAAGATGCAAGAGTTGCTATCATGGGTGGCCATGATGATACCAGCGGTTGGAGTGGGCAGGAATTTTGTCGAAGGGGCTATATCTGATGTCTTGGGTAAGTCCTTCAGCCTTCTTGCCGCCAAGTTGTTGTCGAGTTAATTATTTCCGTGATAGCTCTCTAGCTGGGACGATTCCACATCCAAGTCTTTTGCTTTGCGCCTTCCGACAGGAGATGGCCTCTACAGATATTAAATAAAACTGCTTGCACAATATCCATTCACCGAACTCTTGTGTTACTATGATTTCGCTAATGAACGTTAAATTAATATTGTACTACAACTAGTACTTATACCTTACCTTGTTTGGTGGATATTTGTTGATTGTCCGGTGGGGCAGGTCTTATGGTAGACAGTAGGCATGCCTTTACCTATTTTTTATTTATTTCTATCTCGTGTTTTAGGTCTAGTTTGATATTGTTCGAAAGCCAATCCGTTTGTGGGGTTGTTTAGCTTGTTGACCCAAGATTCTCGGACCAGTCCCCAAGATATAGGATTTTAGCGCCGAAAGAACCAGCGAATTAAGACACAGAGGCATTTGAACAAAGTAAGCGTGGCAGACCGTCAACAGCAAGAATGCGCGTTCGTGTAGCATGACGCGATGACGCTATAGCCACCGAGCCGGCGGTTATTTGTGCTTTACATGGCGGAGTTGCGTTTCAGTGCTAAGGTGATAGAGCTTTTGTGATGCTGACACTCTTGCAACACATGATTGTTCTTGGCTTATATCACCAAGACTGTTCGTACAAGGCATTTAAATTGTCAAGTGTGTTTCACAATGCAAGAACTACAAATCGCTGAAACAACGTCAAGTGCACAAAAAAGCGGATTGTGTGCATGCTTGATCTGCATAAATTCAAGTTAGAGTCGAAGAATTGGTGAGTGGCACAGTGATACTTGATTTAAAAGGTGTCGTTCAACCCACCACCAGTGCAAAGTCTGTGACCACGCCCGTTTTTCACGAAACACCAAGACTGCTGTAATGTCCATCCCACAATCATTTGACACAAACCTAGTACTGCAGCACACCCTCAAAGATGCAAGTAGTGCCATCATTGGACTTGGAGGCGACAGACCTACACCAGAGGTTGTAGTGGACAGGATGCTTGGTGAAGGGGGCTATAATGAAGTTTTTTTGATATCTTGGGCAAGTCCTTGAGCCACCTTGTCAGTTGTTGTCGAGCTAAATTCTTCCCATAATAGCTCTCAGGCTGGGACGACTCCACAGGATCCAAGTCTTTCGCTTTACGTATTCCGAAACCAGATTCTCTCCTGCCTCATCAGATATTAAACGAGGTCGCTTCCATATCCTTGATATCTGCACGTTGCCCCAATATTCCAGTCCCCAAGATATACGCATTTAGCGCTGACGGACCGAACCCATTCATCGCTCAAGAATATGTCGATGGCGAGCCTTTGAGTACTATATGGAGTCGCTATACCGAGATGGAGAAGCATTCAGTCGCCCTGAAGATCGCTGAGATAATTGTTGATATGGCGGAGACGCGTTTCAGTGCTATAGGCGGGATTGCCAGTCCCACAAGCTATACCCTTGGACCGACCGTTGAGGGAAGCAAGTTCTTCAAGGGACGCGTGAGTCTTCGTCGCCTTTTGCATTGATTTCTCTGATTGATTTATTACATTCGGATAGAGCAAATTTCACTCCAATAGATGCTACCCCATCGGTCCATACAAAACCACAAAGGAATACATTCTCGCTTGCTACGACAAAGAGATATACTATTATACCCATGCCCCCGAGTCCGATATCGATTCCGGTCTTTTCGAGATTACGTCTGTCGAAGATTTTGTGCAGCAACTACGAGATAAGAAGCGTCAGCTAGAGACTAGCTTCGTTACTGAAGACGAGCCATTTGTGCTCGTGCATGGAGATTTTCACGGTCGGAATATCATGATGCATGGTACGCAGGTACAAGCTGTCCTTGATTGGGAGTTTGCAGGTGCATATCCTTTGGGTGAGCTATTAGGAGGGATGGGAGTCGATGTCGTGGAAGTCGAGGACGATAAATCAGAAGAGGAGAGTGTAGTCTGGAGCAGAAAGATTGTGCGTAGGGTCGAAGAGATGGCGAGACAAAGAGGGTGGGATGCGAAGGAGTTAGCGCTGTTATTGGGCGATGGAGATCCTGTCCTCGGTGAAGCAAGGATGGAAATGTTTCCGGCTGAGTACTGAATAATATGCTGGATAAGTTCTTTTCTTTGTAACTTTTCCTTGGTTTTGTTTCGAATCTGACGCCACGGTTTTTCACCTCATCACTAGTACGGTTGTGAGTGATCAATTTGTTCTAACGGTGAGTGCTGAAATTTGACTTGTTCAATGTTTGCATCACACAATGAGCCACTGGTGTCCCTCAAACTCCACTGTCTCTGCAGTTAATGCACAACTTAGGTATACTTCGTTGGGTTCCGTGTAAAATGCGCAACTTCAAGCTTCAAGGGGCATACATGAAGTCAAAACTTGCTAGTACGGTAAGTTCTAGATATTCACCCGTACTTACATTCATACAATGATGTCAACTGCAGACTCGACAAGTCCCCTCTTTGCTCCGTCAATACGGTGCTGTTTAGCATTAAGTAGTAACAGACACAAATGCACTGACCTGCACGGACTCTATCAATCGCGCGTCCGAACTCATTTCTTGGACCATCTCACCGCCGAAATTGACGATTCTGACCCGGTCATACATGCAAGGACGGAACCCTCAAAGCACTGCGCTTGGACATGCAAAGCACCCAGCGACTTAAGGGATTGGTCGAGTGAATGCCTGATGCAGTCCCCAGGCCGGTCACCACGACAAAGACCTCCGAAACCCTGTCGGACTTTGGTGTCAAGTAATTCGACTGAATTTCGACATCCATGTCAGTCTTTACTCAACTCTCCACATCGAGTTGACTTCCATCGATATAACTTATCTCCAGAAAATACCTCGATCTTGGTGTTCACTTGATGCTGTAACAGTCTAACAGATAGTGGATTCACCTTAAAACGGATGTGGTTGATTCAAGGACAATGCACTTACGCGTTACATGGTCCACATCCACTAGTAACCTCCACAAAGCGTCCCTATAAGAATTCCACAAGCGTCTGTCCACTGCAAAGCACAACTCCGCGCGCGTTTGTCCACCACAAAGCACAATGGCACGACCACCGCCGGGAATCGTTTATATACCTCCCTCAATACCTACCCAGCACTATCATCACCCCGAATTGAATCATGCATTCACCTCACACAGAATAAAGTAGTATTCTCCACTCATAGTCTTCTACAACCGATCATGTCTGGGGTAAGCCTAATCACGCGCATACCTCATGCACTAACTTGAAGACTGACTCTTTTTAGTTCTACATCTGCTCTGCTGAACCTGGCTGCAATGAAACATTTACCAAGTTCGTGGACTTCAAGAGACACGAAGCCGCACATTCAACAAAGTACGAATTTCTGCTCTATGGTATACGGCTCACCTCACCTACATTCGGTCACGCAGGGGGTACACCTGCACCTGGCCCGGGTGCGACTTTGCGACAATGATGAAAAGTAGCTACGACATCCATTCTGCTAAACAGTACGTGCCCATTCATCGCCGTTATCGATTCCACTGATCAACAATTTTATTTTAGTACTGGCGAGAAACGCTACATCTGTCCTAACGATGGTTGTGACTACAAGACTCACGACCCTGCTCTCTTCACGCGCCACCGCAAGAAAGAACATGGGTATGTTCCTCTGGCGCTCGGTCGTGGTTCCAAATCCGTCAAAAGGTCAGGCGAGACCAAGTCATCGTCCCAGCCCCCGGCACAGTCCCAGCCCTCGGTACAGCCTCCTCCCCCTGATGCATTCCACCAATACAAACTCGAACCCGTACAATCGCAGCCCGTGCAATTGCAACCCATGCAATGGCAACCCCTGCAATGGCGACCCATGCAACCACAAGCCGTACCACATGGACCCATGCAACCGCAGCCTGTGCAACCGCAACCCATGCAGCCAGAACCCGTACCACACCGACCCATGCAACCGCAGCCCGTGCAAGCGCAACACATGCAGCCACAACCCACACCACACCGACCTGTGCAATCGCAGCTCGTGCAAGCGCAACCCGTGCCACACCGACCCGTGCAATCGCAGCCCGTGCAAGCGCAACCCGCACCACACCGACCCGTGCAATCGCAACCCGTGCAAGCGCAACCCGCACCACACCAACCCGTGCAATCGCAACCCGTACTACACCGACCCGTGCAAGCGCAACCCACCCCACCCCGACACATGCAATTCTACCCCACCCCATACAAACCCCAACCCACTCTATACCAGCCTCCCCCACCTGTCTACAACCCGTCGTTGGGAGTCTTCTACGACTCAGGAGATACCGCGGACGACTATACAATGTACACCGGTCCCACGAGGGATTCCAATGGGTGGACTGAGGGATGCATGTGTCCTGAATTGATGCAGAGGCGCCCTTCGGAGATCCTGTGGTCTGAGTATGGGGGATTTTAGTGTTGCATGATCTCAAGACTTGAGAAACATTAGTGTACTTTTATCGTGCTTGATGGTGTTTTCTCGTTTTGTGTTTTTCGTTCGTTTATGTCTGGACTCTGGATGCCTTCCCACTGGCTTGTATATCATTTATGACTTCTTTACGATGTTTTGTCTAAAGGCTAATACACCCTTTTATCAATGTAACACGTTCTTACGATTACATTGTGATGTTGACACTAGTGCGCGACGAGGATGTCTATGAGTACAAATTGAGTATGGTGTTGTGTAAAATTAGGAGCCTTTGATTCCACATGAGCGGCCAGTACTGTCACGATTCACACATGAGGCTCCTCGCTTTCAAGACTTGCCTGGTTGCGAGCGCGCCTGGTGATCGAGGGCAGAGGTGCTTCAGGGGGACAAATCACACCACGAGCGGTACCGATCATAGGCGGTGTCGTCGACTGCACGTATCAGATCATGCAACAGATGATTCCACTCGGGACAGAAAGTAACACTGGAGTCTCGCAGAGCAGAAATGTCACTGGCCGGAGCTACCTTCTGGCAGACAGCTGCAAGATGGTCCCGCATCATCACCATGCCCTTCTTGATCATGGTGTCGACTGCACCCATATCTTGGTTCGGAAACAAGGTCTGTAGTGAAGGCATCAATGAAGCGAACCAGATGAGTGTTTGTAGATACTTACACCACGTGCCAGCAATTCATTGTCAACATCGACGTTGATCGGTTCGTCCCCCCGGACCCAGACGTGGAATTGAACGGATGCAAGGTGACACCATGTATGGCCTGCGAATACGATGGGGTTCTCAAGAGATTGCGCTGCAGCGCCTCGAAACGAATTGAATGAAGAGCGTGAAAGAGTCGATGTCTCCTTGCGTAACATCTGCCATGCTTCAGACATACGTCCAGGTGAGCGATATGGTTGATGTTCATCAATCTCAACCATTATGACCATCAAGACCTCTGGATGGCCGGAGATTTCATATTTGATTTTCCGAAGAACTGAATCTGTGTCTTGGGCAAATGCACATTCCCCGATGACAAGGACCTCATGAATCCAATTACCCTTGGATCTCACATCCATCTTAATCAACAAGTCTGGAACGGCAGAAGCAGACATCAGCTCAAAAACCCTGGATACCGAGGTACACACAGAGTAATCCCTGAGATAGGAGCTGTACAAAAAGCTAGAAAATATCGATTCCAAGTGACAGAATGGAGCTTCGTGCATGCTGCTGAATTTTTCGACGAGAAGGATGCGTTCGTCCTCGAAGTAACTCAACCTACAATAATTTAGTATTAGCCATAAGAAGTGAGACATTCACCCTAACCTTGGCCTTCCCAGTACTGCGTGATTCTCTTCGATAGTGTGCCCTACTGTCGAGTATACCCCATAATGAACATCAGAAAACTCCTGTTACAATGATCAAATGAGTGCCTGCGCTCCGCCCCATGAATTCGAACATACCGCATACTCTTGTTCAGGGGTTGGCTCGGCAAGGAACTTCAGCACGTCCCCACATTGACCTCGAAGATCGAACATCACAAATCAGCGTAAGCCTTAGATAAGTGTAGGTCACAAATACCGAAATCAATGGTGTCAAGTCCGGCGACATCTCTGAAAATGTCCTCCAAAATCGAATCATCTGATGCTGAACTCCCGGCAGGGAAAAGCATGTCGGAAAACAGTTCGATCTTGCTCTAGGTATGGAGGCTCCGGTAGGTTGGCGGGAAGTTAATCTCCCTTGGCCAGACCTACCTTGAAAGAAAGAAGGCAACTATGTAAGTAGTCGTGGTGCGTAGTATTAGACTACTACTAGTTCAACAACTTGGTTGTGCTCCGGCGCGGAGATTCAAATATCCAAAAACGATGTCCTCCACTAAAATAATAGTATTCCCCCTTATTTAAAAAGATGACGCTCAATTAAACTATCGATTAGGCACTCCGTATCTGGACTGTGTCGCAGGTAACAGAAAGTAAGTACAAGAAGTTCTACCCTCCAAATCACGTCGGAACACCAAATACATAAACCGTAACCCATGCAACCACAACCCATACCAGACCTGTGCAATCACAGCCCATACAACCGCAACCCATCCCACACCGACACGTGCAATTCTACCCAACCTCATACAAACCCAACCCACTCCATACCAGCCTCCCCCACCTGTCTACAACCCGTCGTTGGGAGTCTTCTACGACTCAGGAGATACCGCGGACGACTATACGATGTATACCGGATCCGCGAGGGCTTCCAATGGGTGGACTGAGGGATGCATGTGTCCTGAATTGATGCAGGAAGCTTCGGAGATCCTGGGGTCTGAATATGGGGGTTTTTAGTGTTGCATGATCTCCAGACTTGAGAATTATTTGTGTACTTTTATCGTGCTTGATGATGTTGTCTCGTTTTGTTTGTTTATTCGTTCGTTTATGTCTGGACTTTGGACGCCTTGTATATCATTTATCACTTCTTTACTATGTTGTGTCTAAAGGCTAATACACCCTTTTATCAATGTAACATGTTCTTACGATTAGATTGTGATGTTGACACTAGTTGTGGGACGAGGATGTCTATGGAGTACAAATTGAGTATGGTGTTGTGTAAAATTAGGAGCCCTTGACTCCACATGACCGGCCAGTACTGTCACAATTCACACACGAGACTCCCCGCTTTCAAGACTTGCCTGGTTGCGAGTGCGCCTGGTGATCGAGGGCAGAGGTGCTTAAGGGGGACTAATCACACCACGAGCGGTACCGGTCATATGCGGTAGTAGTCGACTGCACGTATCAGTTTACGCAACAGATGATTCCACTCGGGACAGAAAGTAACACTGGAGTCTCGCAGAGCAGAAATGTCACTGGCCGGAGCTACCTTCTGGCAGACAGCTGCAAGATGGTCCCGCATCATCACCATGCCCTTCTTGATCATGGTGTCGACTGCACCCATATCTTGGTTCGGAAACAAGGTCTGCAGTGAAGACATTAATAACGCGAACCAGCTGAGTGTTTGTAGATACTTACACCACATGCTAGCAATTCATTGTCAACATTGACGTCGATTGGTTCATCCCCCCGGACCCAGACGTAGAATCGAACGGATGCAAGGTGACACCATGTATGGCCTGCGAATACGATGGGTTCCTCAAGAGATTGTGCTGCAGGGCCCCGAAACGAATTGAATGAAGAGCGTGAAAGAGTCGACGTCTCCTTGCGTAGCATCTGCCATGCTTCAGACGTACGTCTAGGTGAGTGATATGGTTGATGTTCATCAATCACAGCCATTATGACCATCAAGACCTCTGGATGGCCGGCGATTTCATATTTGATTTTCCGAAGAACTAAATCTGTGTCTTGGCCAAACGCACATTCCCCGATGACAAGGACCTCATGAATACCATCATCGGTCGTCACATCAATCATCAAGTCTGGAACGGCAGAAGCAGACATCAGCTTCAAAACCCTGGATACCGAGGTGTACACAGAGTCATCCCTGAGACAGGAGCCGTACAAAAAGCGAAAAAATATCGAATCCAAGTGACCGAATGGAGCTTCGTGCATGCTGCTGAACTTTTCGACGAGAAGGATGCGTTCATCGTCGAAGTAACTCAACCTACAATGATTTAGTATTAGCCATACGAAGTGAGACATTCACCCTGACCTTGGCCTTCCCTGTACCGCGTCATTCTCTTCGATAATTTGCTCTACTATCGAGTATACCCCATAATAAACATCAGAAAACTCCTGTTACAATGATCAAATGAGTGCCCGCGCTCCGCCCATGAATTCGAACATACCGCATACTCTTCCTCGGGGTTTGGCTCTGCGAGGAACTTCAGCACATCCCTACATTGACCTTGAAGATCGAACATCACAAATCAGCGTAAGCCTTGGGTAAGCATAGGTCACAAATACCGAAATCAATGGTGTGAAGTTCGGCAACTCGTCTGAAAATGTCCCCCAGTGGCATGTCGGAAAGCAGTCGGATTTTGCTCTAGGTATGGAGGCTTTGGAAGGTTGACGGGAAGTTAATCTCCCTTGGCCAGACCTACTTGACAAAAGGAAGACAACTATGTAGTAGTCGTAGACTACGTACTCAGTTCAACAAGTTGTGCTTCGGCGCGGAGATTCAAATATCCAAATATGACGTCCCTAGTACTGTAGAGATACGCACCTAACTTCGTCACACCGTCACAGGCCCAACGAATCGAAGCTATTTCGAGTGACTGTCACACAAATTCAAGGTCGTCGAAGTTAATTTGTGACATATTGTCAAAATACAAAAAAAATGCGTAGAACACTATCAATGTTGCCAAAAATCGTTGTAACGAGTATTTGCAGTGCGTCTGCGTTTTCCACGACCACTCTCAATGTCATCAGTGCCATGATTGTCCAGGATTGTTTCAGAGTTCACCATCCAAGAGCTGAACTGATGCCTTACCGAACATTGGAGGATCCATGTTGATATGACATTGTATACACATATAGAGAAGCCTGACAGATGGGTAGATACAAAGTGCCCCATGGTGAGCGCAAACCTGAGGATCACTGTTTGCATTGACCAATCGAGAGCCTGTTGCTGCAGGCACTGACAGCGGCTGGTAGTGGTGCTTCGAAGCTATTTGTCAGATGTCACAGGTCACACCCGCCTTCGAAGTATCGAAGCTAATGTTCAGTTGGTCACACCCAAATCATGTCGAAGTTAGGTGCGTATCTCTACAGTATTACTTGAATAAAACAAGATAATAACATCCAAATCACCGAACTCACGCTAGGCTAGAAAGTAAAACGCATGACTCTCCATCAATATCGTGAAATTGGTCCTGATGGTCGATCCCGTCGACGATTGACGGAAATGCTTTATAACAATCCAAACTGCGAGAAACAAGGAGAGAATCTCCCATATGTACTATCACACTCTCAGGCTCGTAAGCCAGATACAGGTGGGCTCACCGCCAAGCATGGCAATATTGACGGTGATTGATGGTGGACAAATGAACTCACAGCTATTGAAATCGTTATCTTGACGAAATTTACTGCGAAGGAATACCCCTATTTACCCCGGATCTAGTTGCTGATTGATATGTTATCACGGCCTTGTTCTGTTAGCAGGCACCAAGCTGTCATATGTCATGTCACCCTTGGGCGCAATTCCTGTGCCGCGGTGAGGGGCTAGTAAGTTGGAACGCTGTGGTAAGTGTCTCGCCAGCTCGCGTGGCTTTCACGTAGGAACGCCGCGGCCTAGCTCGCTTAATCCTTACTTTGCGTGAATGGCGATGAAGTGTCGATGGGACCTGGTGTTACCGCGCTGATAGTGTGCCTTCCTTGGTTTGCTCGACCCTTGCGCAGAAGGTTGGCTCGGCTGTCAGCAGTACACAGGAAGGTCGGTATCAAGGTTATATTCCGTTCATGGTCATGCAGCATTTCCGTAAAACCTTCTGTCAATGTGTCATAATCCTATTTTTGGGTCATGACAACGTTTGTACAAACAATTCTCATGTGTACACCGGTTAATGCAATACACGTTCCTTATAACCATCATGCATCATGTGTAGTACTAATGCATTACCCCCCCAGGTTGCTGTGGTATATCTGAATGCACTTCCAATACGCCCTATCCTGAAACGACCGTAGGGCCATCTCTTCTTTACAGCTATTTTGTAGGTTCGTATAAAGCAATTTCCAAGATGCCAATGGTGATATCTCAATATTTTTGACTATCGCTTCGTAGCTGCAAGCTCTACTGTCGGTGTTATACGACTGTGGTAAGTGAGACAATATGTTCCGAGGGGTCATTGATATGTACACAGTATTTAAGCATTAACATTCGGGCAAGAGGTAAGTTGATGTCATGACCTGTACAACTCACTAAAATGCTTTAACAGTTCGAACTCATCTTGGTGAGCATTAGAACCAAACAGGATGATGGAGTTGACTCGGGGCAGAGGAAACGTTGGACCTTCATGACCGTTCTTTATATTTGTGTACGTTCTTGCTACGAGCGCAGTTGGCATGTTGTGCTGACTTCAACATATGTTAGGTGCGCTGCATTGGAATACTATTTGCTATGTACGTCTGCAAGGCTATCTACATAACACTGCAATGTGATAATAAGTCATATCTTGCAACCAGCATCAGTATCCTATGTACGTGTCCTCAAATGTGTCCGCTCCTTCTGACTGGCGGCACGCAGGGAATTTCCCTACGATCTTGATTACCAATGTAGTGCGTGTTCTGCACCGATGCCTACCATTCTTATTCAACTACTAACCATGCTCCTATATAGGGGTGAGTGATATTCTCGGTCGGCTTGTGTCTTTCAGATAACGACTTCGACAGCTGTGAGTTCATTTGAAGGATTTATTCCACTACCAAGTAACTGAGTTTTCAGGCGTTATGCTTTGGTACATACAGGCATGGATCCCTATCGTCGTCAATGCCATGCTGGGCGGTGAGCTCACCTGCGGTGCCTTACTACTGGTACTGACTTGACTGAAATATCATTCAAGTCATCATGATTGCTCGGATAAATGCTATGTATCGGCAATCAAAAAAGTTGCTCATCTTTCTTGTTGTAGCCTTGCTGACTTCCACGATCACCTCCGGAGTTTTGATGGTAATTGGAACCCGGGGTGTCTCAACGCGTAAGTTTTAATTATCCATGGAAGCTTGGATCACGAAAGACTCATGGTCATTTAGAGGAGACCACCCTTTCCGCCGGCTACTATATCTGCATCATCGAATTTGACACATCCATGATAAATTTGGATTACGAGAGTCTGTTATCCACTGCTGCGTGGGAGATCCTCGCCTTGTCTCTCGCAGTCTGGAATGTCATACAGTACTTCCGAGAACAGCAACAATTGCCGACAGGATCGAACATTTTGAGGATATTAATAGAGAGTCACGCATTTTACTTTCTAGCGTCAGTTCGGTTAGCTATCATCTTGTTTCACTAAAGCTCCGTATTTTCTAGCTTTGCTGCTGTGGCTTGCTTCCAGCTTGGCGCACTATCTCCAAATATTACGGTATGCCGAGTTGTGACTGGCATCTGCAGCTGATTACTCTCTCATCATTTCTCTGCAGAACTCTTTGTCCACTGGGAGTGCTATTTACTTTGGGGTTTGGTCAATCGTCGATGCATTGCAGATGTTTGTGCTGGGATCGCGTCTGATCCTCAGCGTTCGAGAACATAACGATAAGGTCAAGGCCGGGGCCGACGGAGGAACAGGCACGACGTCCGTGGCTTTCAATGCTGCTGGAGATGCGTTAACCGGCGGAGATGTGTAGAGAGTGAAACGAACCAAACGATCAATCACGGTTCTGTGCGGGGAACATGCATATTTATTTGTTTCGTTGTGATATTTAACGTCATCTCGCTATGTCTTCGGTGTTCTGACAGTCTATACTGTCTTCAAGTTATTGGTTTTTTACTCATTTATTGCTGTTAGGCTATCATACTGATGTATCCATTGGGCGGATCATACGAGCGCGGGTGCTTCCGGGTCTATTCATCCTTCACCGTTTTAGGTGATGTATCTATACATCGTTTTGACTCACTTGTTATTGTTAAGTAGGCTATGATTATACTGATGTATTTGTTCGGTGGCATCCTTCTCGAGTGATGTATATATGGGATACTTCTCTACCGTTTTAGGTGATGTATCTGATACATCGTTTTGACTCACCTGTTGCTGTTAAGTAGGCTAACTATTATGATCGTACTGGTATATCCATTCGGTGGAGCTCACTTGCGTAACATCTGCCATGCTTCAGACATACGTCCAGGTGAGCGATATGGTTGATGTTCGTCAATCACAATCACATTCCCCCTTATTTAATAGGTGACACTCAATCGAAGTATCAATTAGGCACTCCGTATCTGGACCGTGTCCTAGGTAGCAGAAAGTAAGTACAAGAAGTTCTATCCTCCAAAACACCAAATACATAGCGTGACGAGGCTAAATAGTATCACAACGAAACAAATAAATATGTATGCTCCCCGCACAGTACCGTGGTTGATCATTTGGATCGTCTTATGTGCTACACATCTCCGCCGGTCAATGCATCTTCCACCAGCCTGGAAAGTCATGGACGTCGTGGCTATTTCCCTGTCAGGCCCCAGTCACGACCTTAGCGTGATGTTCTCGAATGCTGAGGATCAGACGCGGTCCCAGCACAAACATCTGCAACATCTGGGCAATTGAAAGAATGCCAGTGTAAGTAGCACCTCCCGTGGACGATGAGTTCTGCAGAGAAATGATGAGAGTGGTCAGCTGCAGATGGCAGTCACAGGTCGGCGCACCATGATATTTGGAGACAGTGAGCCAAGCATGAAGCAAGCCACAGTAGCAAAGCTAACAAATGCGAACATTCAGTGAAACAAGATAATAACATCCAAATCACCGAACTCACGCTAGAAAGTAAAATGCGTGACTCTCTATCAATATCATGAAACTGACCCTGATCGTCGATCCTTTCGGCGATTGACGGAAGTGCTTTATAACAATCCAGACTGCGAGAAAAAAGGAGAGGATCTCCCATACAGCGGTTGGTATCACACTCTCGTAAGCCAGATACATCATGCGCGTGTCAATTTCAGGTAAGCATGTATGATAACCGGAAAGGACGGCCTCCTCTAGTGAACGTGCATGAGTTTCCAGGCTTTCATCAATGATTCAAGCTTACGCGCCGAAACACCCAGGTTTCCACTTACCACCAAAGCTCCGGAGGTGATCGTGGAAGCCAGCAAGGCTACAACAAGAAAGATAAGCAACTTTTTGGATCCCTGATACATGGCATATATCCGCGCAATCATGATGACTTGAATGATATTTCAGTCAAGTCAATATTATTAAGGCACAGGGGCGAGCTTACCGCCCAGCATGGCATTGACGATGATAGAGGTCCACTCCTGTATGAACCAAATGATGGTGCCTGGAACCCAGTTACTTGATGGTGGAATAAATATTTTAAATGAGCTCACAGCTATTGAAGTCATTATCTTGAAGATACAGGCCGACCGAGAATATTACTCACCCCTATATAAAATCATAGTTAATAGTTGAATGGGAATGACAGGCATCGGCGCAGAATACCCACTACATCGGTAATCGAGATAAGGAGATTCGCTGCATGCCGCCAGTCAGAAGGAGCAAACGCATTTGAGGATACATACACAAGATGCTCATGCTGGTTGCGAGATATGACCTGTTAGCACATTGCAGTGTTATGTGCCTTGGAAACGTACACAGAAAATAGTATTCCAATGTAGCGCACCTAGCATATGTTAAAGTCAGCACAACATGCCAACTGCAATTGTAAAACGTACACAAATATAAAGAACGGTCATGAAGGACCAACGTTCCCTCTGCCCCGAGTCAACTGTGTCGTCATCCTGTTTGGTTCTGATATAGGACTTTGCTCACCAAGATCAATTCGAACTGTTAAAGCATTCTTAGTGAGATATGCAGGTCATGACATGAACTTACTTCTTGTTCGAATGTTAATGCTTAAATAATGTATACATATCAATGATCCATGGGTTGAACGTATTGTCTTACTCACCCCAGTCATATACCACCGCAGTAGAGCCTGCAACTGCAAAGCGATAGTCAAGATATTGAGATATCACTATTTTCATACCAATTTCTGTCTACGAACCTACAAAATAGCTGCAAAGACGAGAAAAACTGATGAGCGGCCACCAAGCAGGATCATATGAGACTATGGTCATATCGGGATGTGGAGTATTCGAGCGTGTGTAGATATACCGCCATCCATCGCTTTTATAGTGATTAGTTGGGTGTCCATTTCAGCTTTGATTAATCACAGTAAATGTTGTCGAATGAATTCAGTAAGATCGCGGAGAAAGGGGGAATATGCGATGCCCTTGTTACCACTCGGCCACAATTCGACCGACAAGCCATGGCGAAACTAGATAGTGCTAGTACCAACGGTATAACGCAAAAAGACATGGGCGTAAACCTTTCCGCTCTGACAATTGGTAATGACACGCTGCTCGCCGTTGACGGGCGGCGGCGATGGAGGCACATATATAGCATCTCAATCAAATATAACAAGTTCACTAACCATTATTCCTTCGTCTTTTGTGCCCCCCTCGCTGGAATCTTGATGGTAGACGGCAATTTTAAATGACACGTTTGACAGCTGTCAGGAGTGTGTTGCCCAGCTAGCACCTGCTTTAGCGGTCAAGGTGAGATTACTAAGGAGCTGCCGTGTGAATGGATTGCCATTGAAATGGCAAACGAGTTGTTATGTAGGTGCATGAGTGTGGAGCTTGAATGTGCTGAGACTCGGGAGTACGCGAGATTTGAGAACAGTGGAAGGCCGGTGCCATCCGAGGAATTTTCCTCGTCGTCGTTATCGGATGGATCCAGTTGCTATCAGGATGTGTCACTCCTGCAGAACATGTGAACACTTACATAAAGAAGCTGTGTTTTATGTGGCGTTTGAGAGGGCGTGATTCAAGTCGGGACAAGTCAGAATAAAGTTTACCAGGTCCACTTGATAAGCGTCCTACAGACCAGTACAGACCAGCCCTGAAGGATGTGAAAAATGCAATAACCGGATACGAAGACTCTTGGCCATTGCGACATCCATCAGCAGAATTGCACAGGAGTTCATTCGAAGGGTCAAAAACTAGGTGAGCACACACCGTGGCTCATCATACACCTTCCTATCATCTCATATGAAAATGAAAAACTATTGAAATGCCGGGGTGTAAATACTGGGGACTCGTCCGGATCGCGCCATTCGGCTTGGCTTGAAGTTGATGATCGCTATGGAAAGTTTGATTTACATAAAGATTTGAAAGTTGATATCATGGTCGTTGTTTGTCACGCCAGTCACGCTCCGTGATGCTCAACTCACGCTCCTGGGTAAGTTCTTTTCTTTGCAACTTTCATCAGTTTTGACGCTGCGGTTCTTCACCTCATCACTAGTACGACTGTGATTGATCAATCTGTTCTAACGTTGAGCGCTGAAAGCTCAATGAATGCAGTCCACTTAGAAGGTATGCTGGACATGGTCTTTTCGCATGTCACCACAAAACGCGAAATGACATGGACCTCGAGTCCTTGACCATCCATAAAGGACCTTGATAATCCCTGCCACTCTGCCATGACTGTATGTTTGTTGAATGCGACTCTCTGAAGTCAGTCTTCTGCAAAACATGCAATCATCATCAAGGCACGATATCATCTATGGTTTCCTTCACGGCCTTGATCCGTACATAGCAGCACTACACGTAGTGTTTCAAAGTCGCATCGTAAGTAAATTCGCTCTTTCAGGTACTAATCGTGCCGGTGGGAATGTGTCTGGGCTGGGAAATGATAAAACATACCACCTGGCATATTTCGCGCTCGTCCCCCCTCTTACTCAAGAGACTGGCGAAGCGCTTGTTTCAGCAGATCAGCTGGATTGTAGGCACGAGCTTAGAGCTGAGCTGGTCCGCGCAGATTGGCTCGTGTCATCAGATTTTGTGACGACGCTGAAGGCAAAGTATTTCCAGTGTGCGCTGGTGTGCAGACGAAGTGAGCGACCTAGGTATAGGGATTTTGACTGTCCTGGAATCCTGCCTTTGAGGAAAGTTATTTAGTATATTTGCGGCGTATAGGGCCACAGTGTTCTACTGCTGTCAAATTCTATTGGTGCGTCAATAAGTGAATGTCCTCGCGCCTAACCACGACAAGGTGCTTACATGTTCCCCAAACACCATAATAATCAAGGTTGGGCCGTCTCGAGCGCCAATGGTGGCCGCTTCCTCGAGTTTCACAAGGTTCTCTCCTTTGCCTGGAAGTTCTATGCGTACTGGCGAGAGAAGGGCTGGGGTGATGCGACCGCTTGCACAAGTCTCTAGGCCAGCAATCTCCTTGCGGTACCTCTCAACAGCGGAGCTCATCTTCGCCCCATATTTTTCATATTTCAAATGAGTAGCCTGAGAAGTAACTTAGAGCTTGTTTAGATCCCAGGACTAAGTCTGCAGTAAACTTTGCCTTAGACCGAGTCGAGGCGTAAAGCCGGATGCATGGTGTGACCGAGAGATGCCATTGTGCATAAAGTTGCTCTGTGTCGGACTGAAGGCGAGACACAGCACTGGGCCCGGGGTAGCGACTGGCTATATGATTGGTATGTAGAGTATTTTAAAACTTAGATCTTGGCATTTAATTTTTTTTTGGCCAATGGCAAGTTGCAACTTGGCGCTCGACGCTCGTTCGTTAGTTACTAGTACCTATCACATGACCACTACGTGCTACTATAAAAATAAAGGCAAAACACTCACAGCCATAGGCATAGTACTTACGAATAGACAGTCATGATGCTCTCGCACGATGCAAACATCCAACAGCACCTCGTTGCCCCCATAGTGTCGCCGACAACACCGTGACTACGTGTAGGGTTGTATTGGCAATGAAATATTCGGTCTGATCGGGACGCCGGTGAAAATTTGTGCGCTTCTGGCGCTCATTGTTAGACGCCTACTCAAGCGTTTCTTGAGCACTCTTGGGCGTCATTGCTAGCGCCCAATTTGGAAGTATTCAAGGTTCATTACCACCTGCAACTTTCATACCGGTATCATCGCCTCCTTATCAAAGCGCCAGCCCATCCTTCGTGAAGTGCTCTGCCAGCGAGTCGCAATGTACATATACCGCCTTATCCCGCTCAGCTAGAAAATGCGCGTTCGGAACCGTCGTACCACATGGACGAACCGGAATGATGGCAATGGACTCACCGCAATGCTATCGTTTCACCACAATCAGACAGTTACAACTACCAAACTCTCCTCGCCAAGTATAGAATCTAATGATAGGTACGAACATCATCTGCAAGCAAAGATATCTGCTAAAAATAATGACTCCCTCAACATGTGTGCTGCCTGACGTAATACAAAGTTATAACTGGACTCGCGGTGAACTTCGGTGTAACTGGGTGTAAAATCATCTCCCAAGAATAAATCTACGACGTCGACGGAGTGTTAGCCAGGTCTGGTTTTGTTCTTCTCACTCACGAAGGGAAAAGATGGTCGACAGGCAACCAGAACGTTTAACGCCACTTTGCATGACGGCTTGAGGAATCCGAAAACAAGCCAAAACGTTCGAATGTAAGTGCTGCACAGCACACGAGTATCTGGGTGTGTGTCGATACTGCCTTCAAATAGTCCCATTGACCAACTGTTGTAGGACACCATCTGTGAATTCGAACCACCCGAGCCGGACTATAGAACTTTTTGTGCAGCTTCTCGCACCGCTTTTGGCCCGGCCCGCAGAAATCGAAAGCTTAAGCAAGGCAAAAACCACAAAAGCCGAGTGGCGCGATTGCTGACAAAAATCACAGGTTTGAACGTTGATTCTAATCTCGTACAGATAAGATGATCTGAATTGATCCGTGCTAGTCTTTCGAGCGACGGAATGCGGTTACACCAGTATAAAAAGCGGGGGAGAGTAGCATTTGCCTGCTCTCCAGTCTCAATCAACATGTCAATCCTCACAATCCCCAAGCTTGCAGATGAGCTCTTCTTGCGACCCATCGTAATATCGATGAACAGCTTGGCCCTGTCAACCCTGATGTCCTATGTCATGTCCGCCAACGGATGTATTGACTGGAGACCGGTACGCTCATCAATTTAATACCAGATAATGTCGCTGATGCATTCGTCTTCGTAGATCACCATCTGTGTCACGTCGGATATCCTTGCCATGGGTGCTGACCATCTTAAGGATAAAGAGGATGAATTCTCGTCGGACCGCAATAACGCCAACGACCCACGCCTCACCTCTTGGTTTATATATGCACGAACCTTCCTCGCCGCCAGCGCTGTACTCCTCGCATTGGCACTATCTCAGTGTCCAATTTCGACGCTCCTCACCACAGCAGCGTTCGTCGCTCCCGCCTTACTCTGGACCACTCCGATCAGCTTCAAGAAGTTTGCGCTGATCTCGAGGCGTCTTCTCGGGAGATTTGGCGGAGACAAGCACCAGCCTTCTACATCTGCGCCTGTCCTGGTCATCAAACGCATCCCTGGCATGAAAGCCATCTTTAATGGCATCATTCGAGGGTACGTCTGCATGTTTGCCTTGAACGATGCACGCGTAGACTAATGCTCTTCAGATGTGGCATCTACACTGTGGTCCTCTCCGTGTTGTCGGGATCAGGCAGTCTAAGTAACACGCTGCCGTCTCCATGGAGTGTTGTTCAACTAATAGTCTGGTCGACCGTCAACCGCTCATGTCACGCAGCAAGTAGACAATATATGATAGCATGATTTGACCCTGACCATGTCTATAGATCATGACTGATGTTCGTGATTTCGAAGACGATATGAAGGCCGGCGTCCCCACTATACCCGTCCTTCTCGGTTCCGTGCCTAAAACCAAGGTCATATTGACGGCTTGTCATATGCTGGTTATGCTGGCCTTCATCGAAAACCCATACATTATGGGAAGCTGTCTATTTGCCGCAGCTCTGGTGTGGATTCTTGGCAAAAATTCACCGAAAAAGGCATTCTTGTTTAGCTCTCATTCGCAGTCGTTGTTTATTATCTGGTATTTGCTGACGAGGCATATTTAGCTCATGTCGGTAGTATCTTCTGAGATTGAATGCGTACCTTAGTAACTTTCTTAGATGCAAATGGCTATTGAAGGATACATTCGTAGTCAGTTGCGTAGATTATATCTTTATTGTTATCCATACTTAGATGTATTTTACAGCTACTTTTATATCGATGGACTAGATTTCATTTTGTTCCCTTCACCCCTTCTGTCTATCCTTGGAGCTGGACAAACCAAAGTCCTGCTTGTTACGATATTTGGGCGCCCGAACTTGAAGGACCCCAGGGCCAAAATGACCGCTCATCCCTCTGCCACCTGACACGATTGTAGTAAAATAGCTGTATCCAACGATCGGCCATTACTTTCACTGAGGCCCTTAATATCGAGGAACATTGTTAAACCCTCGGAACTCCTTATGATTCTGATCCTTTTTACCCTTGGTGAGGAGCAAAGGCAAAGTTGAAGCTACCCAAAGACCCGGACTCGGAAGACTCAGATATACGCCTCCGTGAAATTCAACAAGTGGCCATCGCCATCACGGCTGGTCCCATCAAAAAACACTTCTCAAAGCTCGTGATGGAATTGCCACGCCGTCACTCCTCCTTCGAGATTATTTCAACTGCGTAATACCGTGCATGCAGCTTCACCGCATCACCAAAGTCCCGAGCTCAACTTGCCAACAATGCTATCGACGCAGGGAAACGGTGCACCACTACCTGATAGCCTACGCCAGACGACGCCAATGATTCACTTCGCCACAAAATCGACAATCTCCTATGGCGCAGAGCATCTTAAGAATCCTGAACAACCGCAAGTGTATCAAACGGTGAACCGCTCCTGCACTTCATAGCATGCACCTATCGTCTGGAGAAGGTGTTCAGAGACATCACTCCACCTGCCACCGACGAGGAGATGAGAAGAAGTCGTCATGTCATTCCTCTATATTATACTCGGCACGTATTGACCACCTCAGAGATCTCGCTCTTTGGCCTCCGGCGGTTCTTGACTCGGTTTTATGTGACACTCCTGCAAGTTAACTATCCCGCCAGTCTTTCCTGCAGGTATTAACAAAGGTTGTAGGCCGAAAAATTGCTCTCAAGATCCTCTGGAACGATCGCTTGTGCGCTCAGCATCGAGCACATCCAACACCAGCGCCTTACACAGTATTTCCAAGTCAGAAGATCACGTTGGGAGTAAACCCGCTAGTCATTCCGGTGGGAATGTATCTGAGCTCGACAAACTCTTTGCCAAGCTGGCACGAGTCCAACCCCGCCGCCTCAAGATTACTGGCTATTCTATCCGGCATGCATACCAGGATCGTTAGGCTTCAAAGGCGCCTTTCTTGATGCAATTGTGGAGAATCGCCTTACTATGAAAACCCTTCCTTGGTGCGTCGCTATGTTAGGATATGGTATGGTGCAAGGAGAAATCCTTGTTCGCGTTAGGAATTCACGAGACGGGCAGGGCTAACGACCGGCTGTGTTGCTACTCTGCTCTCCATGCCTGGCGCTACATACTGTCTCAAATATTCAAGGATTGATTTAACCTCGATTCCAGATTGTGCGGAGATTGATTGGTCTCAGTTGACAGTCGGCGTCCTCTTGGCAATCAAACATGCTCTGATAGGGTGGGAATGAGCATAGCACTGAGTCAGGAAAGGGAAGACTTCTTTGATCATCTGAAAATCAGGCCACCCGTTATTGATCACTATTAATAATCTCAAGGCTGCAGTGTGATGGTGGTGCTCGATATCATACACATGCCGGAATCTGCTGGCAGGCTCACCGCCCAAAGTGAGTTAAAAGTGAGTATCTGCTACGCATAACATTGAATTTCGAAGGTGCTTTTCTTGATAGAATCGAACTGTGGTCAGCCCAGTTACATATTTCAAGGGAACATTCACATCGAAGTGGACAGTGACTCTGTGCTCTGCCATGCACAGCTAGATATATCATTATTGCCGAAGTTCTGCGATTCGCGTTAGATTGATGTGACGACAGTTGGATGTTGTCATCAATCGAAGATTCTGATTCAAGGAAGGGACATCCCGCATGATCTCTATTTAAAAAGCACTGCATCATCGTGGTATATCTACATAAAGTTCACGAACACCGTCGCTTATCAAGTTCGCCGATCCCAACATGACCTACTACGACTCGAATGATCCTTCTTGGTGGCCGTACATCTATTGGTTTTACATATTCAATTATTTTATAGGTTCGTGGTGAGCAAGTCGCATCAACTCTGTGATATCTATAGCTTCGCAGTTGCATCTTCTACAGCAGTGATATACGACTGGGGTGAGCCAGATGATACTTTCCGAGGGGATCATTGACACTGATATACATGCAAGTACTAACATCTGCACAAGAGGCAAGTAATAGATGCCATTACCGATGCAGTCATCTCACCAAGAACGCTTTAACAGTTCGAACTGGTCTGGGTAAGCAAAATCTCATTTCAGAAGCGCAGCAGGATAATGCAGTTGAATCGGGGCAGAGGCGACGCTGGTCCTTCATGAATGTTCTCTATGTCTGTGTACGTCATATTAGGAGCACAGTTGATAAGTCGTGCTGACTTTACAACATGCTAGGTTCGCTCCATTGGACTATTATATTCTATGTATGTTTGCAACGCTAACTAGATGACACTGCGCCATACTAATAAGCCATCTCTCACAACCAGCGCCTTTATCCTCTGTATGTGTTCTTAATATGTGTGTTTCTTCTAATTGACACTATACAGTGAATCTTCCAGTCTCAATGACAGATAAAGTGAGTATTCCGCACTGATGCTTGCCATTCCCAGTCAACCACTAACTGCACTCACACATAGGGGTGAGTGATATTTTAGCGAGCTTGTTTCGTCAACATAACGACTGCAACAGCTGTAAGTTCATTTTGAAACATCGAGTCCAGCAATGTGAAGTAACCGGGGTTTCCAGGCAATATCCTTTTTTTCATGATAACCTGGACGCCTTTCGTCATAAATGCCATGCTGGGGGGTGAGCTGCGGTACTTTACTGATATTTGTTTGACTGACTGAAATACCACGCAAGTCATCATGACGACTCGGATATATGCTATGTATCAGGGATCCGAAAAGATCCTCGTCTTTCTCATTGTAGTCTTGCTGACTTGCACGATTGCCTTCGGAGTTATAACGGTAATTGGAAATATCAATGCTTCAGCGGGTAAGCTTCAATTTCATATGAAAGCTTTAAGCACATGAGACTCATGCGCAAATACCAGTGGAGATCATCCTTTCTGGCAACAACATGTGTATCAACATCAATGACAAAGCTGGCCTACATCTGCTCGCCGAAATGTTCATACCTGCCTTTATATGGGAGATCCTTGCCTTAAGTCTTTCTCTCTGGATTGTTATAAAACACCTCCGTGAACTGCGGCAATCACCAACAAGATCAACCATCCAAGACTGTTTCACGGTGTTGATAAAAAGTCATGTGTTGTACTTCGTAGGGTAAGCACGGTGATTTGGATATTATTACCTTGTTCCATTGAAACTTCCAACGTGCTAGCTTTTCTGCTGTGTCGTTCTTCTCCATCGGCTTACTGTCTCCAACCCTCTCGGTGCGCTGATTCGTGACTGACATCTGCATCTTAGACCTGGCCACTCATCATTTTTACAGGGCTCAACTTCTGTGGGATCTGGCATTTATTACGGTGTTTACCAAGTGGTCCAGTTCGTGCAGATGTTTGTCCTGGGACCACGTCTCGTCCTTAGCACTCGAGATTATAACGCTAAGCTGGTGGGCAACTCTGACGAAGGAACTCGCATGAGTACAATCGTTTTCCAACAGGGCGGACACGTGTCAACCAGCGTTAACGTTGATGTGTAGCAGGGAAATGATCCAAGTGATCGACGTTAAATTGAATCACGGATAATGTGCAGTCAGCATGTAAATCGACATACAGTATATATTTGGTGGCATTGCTTTGGAGCTTCGTCGTGGTATTTATATGTTGTGATGGCATGGCGTGATCCGACATGTGAAAGTGCCGGGGCTTATCAACTTCGTCAACTTTGAGGTTCGTCTGTCCAAGTTGACATTTGAATGTTATAATAGGCTCACAGAAAGATGTCCGAAGCTCAAACGAGTAATTTCAAGTTGTCGACGTTCGAGACGTCCATTCATGAGTACTAGAGTACTAGTCCTAACCGCGTGTGAAACGTGACAATAGTCATCGAGTGTATGCTGATATTTTACTACATGCAATTGTCGCTTCGCGGTTTCCAGCTCGTGTTGCTAACAGGGTATTCATTTCAGTCCTCCTGTCTTTCAATTGTTTCTTCAGTGAGGTTAAAACTGGGCAGAAAGAGAACCGCAAAATTTTGCTATGTCCGCGACCAGAGTTTGACATCTCCGAGTCCAGGTGTAACTTAGATGCTATGATGGTGCGTTGCCTCTCATCCTTCAGGACCGTCTATTGAATCCGATATTCCAGGAATGAATCATATGTTGATAGTCTCCAGCTCCGCGTCATACGTTGACGAGTTCAGCATTAACCGGTCTAGATTGCTGAGTGTCACATACCACAGTGAGCCATGTCACCAACATCCAGCAGAGCACGGCGGCCCTTGACAGAAATACGATCTCTTAATGGAACCCAAAGTTTAAGAGTGATAAAGAAGTCACAGCTCTTGCCTATCATACTAGTTCTGGGGTATCCGCAGCAGAATGTTCGAAATTGAGCTTCCTCGTTGACGTAAGAACGGGAGCAAACGACACGAGAAGTTGAACTCGATTGGAAACTCTTGGGCCTGAAATAACACTGTTGCACACCGTGACCATGAATAATTGTTCTGTGAGGATTTACTTTCCTATTCCTGAAATACTCACTTTGACAGTCACGGTGGCAAGTGCGTCAATGCGCGTGTTCAACACATCATGGAACCGAAAGAGGCCCGATATGAATTGCTGCCAAGGTCACATCAGGGATTCACGTCATCACGATACTTTGATATGCGCAAGGAGATAGTATAAATATTAATGGGCAAATCAACCTGCAAGCGACGCAAGCTTCTTCCTTCAAGGTGTCACCTTCACGTCCTCTCAAAATGAGTTTGGATTCCTCTAGTGTTGTACTCAGGGACCGGAAACGTGCAGGGGTCTCTGTGTCTGAAGTTGACACTGGCGCTCGGCTCGTTGCTGGGTTAACTTCAACTCTTGAGCCCGATGAGGCTTTGAGAATAAGGTGCGCTCTGAAACCTCCATGAAGATCAGCATTGTTCAAAAATCTTCGTTTCAGGAGGAAGATCGATAGATATGTCATGCCTCTGATGTGTGGTTAGTCGGCTGCTGCACTCAATTGTTCAAATCGATCGCATCTGACAATTGCTGTTCAGTTCTTTACGTGTTAGTTGGCTACATTCACTACAGATTAGCGCTTACGTGCGGTTAGGATCCAATTCATGGACAAGTTAACCTTGGGTTCTGCGGCCATCCTTGGAATTCAGTAAGGACTGTACGTCGAGACGAGCCAAACCCGGCACTGACGTTTATTACCAGGCAGGCTACGCACCTGACTACAAATGAGTAAGATATCCCTGTCTTTGGAGTCGAAAGTCTTATGGTTAACTGTCTTCAGGTACAATTGGTGAGACATGCATAACTCGAGTTTGCACAGTCCTTACACTATCTTTCAGGCTTGGCACTGCGTTCTATCTTGGTTACATTCTCTTCGAGTATCCCCAGAATCTTGCCCTTCAGAGATTCCCAGTCGGGAAGTGGATGAGGTAGGCTTCACAGTCGTTATCAACGTGGATATCAATGACGACATGTATCAGTATCAATATCTTCGCCTGGGCAATTGTACTCGCATGTCATGCAGCGTGCAAGAGCTTTCGTGGGCTTCTTGTTGTGCGCTTGTTGCTGGGCGTATGCGAGGGGTCGATCACTGCTGGATTCTTGATCGTTAGCTCCATGTTCTACACACGAATGGAACAGACGCTACGGGTGGGATATTGGTGTAAGCTCCCATTTGCAAATGATTGACAAAGTCGATTAATCGGACGCTTGGGAACCTAGCTCTGATGATTGGCACTGGTGCGCTTACTTAAATGTATATTTGATCTTGCCGCCCAAGCCAGTGAAATCTAGCACAAATAATCTCTGGTTTCATCAGCTTTGGTGTTTTGCACATCAAAACCACTGGGTTCGAACCATGGCAATGGTCTGTCATCTTATTTTCATTGTTCCATGTTCTCTCTGATAGATCGCAGGCTTATGGTCATCACTGCTATAATGACGATGATCCTTGCCATTTCATTTTGGTGAGTTTATGAAGCAAATGTTCCCCGTGCCTAATCTCCATAACCGAGACGTCTCCACCTGATAAAGGTTCTTGTTCCCTGATTCGCCTACGAACGCCTGGTTCCTTACTCCCGATGAGCGAGTGAAAGCCGTGCAGCGCCTCAAGGTATGTCTGTCGAGTTATGATATCAACCATTATCTTACAATTAGCTAAGGAAAACCAAACAGGGGTAGAAAACAAACACTTCAAGATGGAGCAGTATGTATTCGATGCAATTGTAATTTTGAATTTCTCACACACCCATCTCTAGAGTGATCGAAGCCCTGACTGACCCCAAGACATGGCTCTTCGCTCTCCTTTCGGCTCTATGCAATGTGCCTAGCTCATTATTAAATCAACAATCACTCATCCTTGCTTCGTTCGGATTCAGCTATCTACAGACAACTCTCTTGTCCTGTATTCCTGGTGTGATTCAGGTCTTGATAGTCTTCACTGGTGTTCGGCTTGCAATACGACAGCCTAATTCCAGAGCATACGTCGCTGCTATGTACTTCGTCCCGGCGTGGCTGGGCGTCTTGCTGGTCAATCTACTTCCTTGGTCAAATCGGGTATGTGGTTTGCTTCTACGAGTCTACCAAGTTGTCTTTAATATTGCATCTCGCATGATATCAGGCTGGACTTCTTGCCGGCCAGTTCCTGGGTGCGTGATGCTTGTAGTGTTTTTCCATGCTCATCGCTCCATAGCTGGATTCACTGTGCCCGGATTCGTACTGACATTGTCGTGGCTAAATAACGTGACTGCTGGTCATACGAAGAAGGTAGGTACTCTGCCAACTATTGAAGTTGCTCCCCAAGTGAAAACCAACCTGCAGGTTGTTACTAACGCCACCATACTCTCGGCTTACTGCATTGGCAACGCAGCTGGCCCTTTGATGTGGAAGGCACAATATAAGCCGCGGTAGGTCATTCATTGAACTCTAGGAAGGAAAGATAATTAATACTAAACAGTAACCACGTCCCATGGGCTGTGATCGGCACATGCTACGTCGTCTGCCCGCTACTCCTCCTTGTCATCCGTGCCGTTCTCGCCCGGGAGAATCGAATTCGCGATGCAGAGCCTGTTGACGACGGAGAAGAATATGTTATCGAGCGAATCACAGAGGATGGGAAGCATGTGGAAGTCAAAGTCGACAAGGTGCGCCCTCCGAATCGGCGATTGGTTTTCGTGTACAATGCTGATATTCTATCTGGACTAGGAATTCCTGGATCTGACAGATAGGCAGAATAGGGATTTCAGATACGTTTTGTAATGATATTAAGCGATCTTGGTCCTTGATCCGATAATTGGTATTGCGAAATAGCATCGTGTTCATTGATGGAACGGCCTACATAGGTAATGACGACGACGAGTAGCACTATGCGCCAATCGTGCTGTTACCGAACAGTGATGCATTGATGTGCAGGAGAGACTCGGAGACAACGAACCGCTCGCCGTGTCTCCCCGCGGGATCTCAATCTATTGGGCCATTGCGTACACTTGATGCATCAGTATTAATGTACTCTACGGTTCTGTATTTGAAAGTGAGATTATGACACTACTTTTCTCTAGGTTTAAGGTGATGTTGTTTCATTCACGCACCGGTTACCGCGTTCCCGGCTGACAATTTTTTTGTTAAGTTTCATCTGGACTGTGTACAGTACTACGCGTTGAGTGAGAATGTATCGCTGACTCGCTGCTTCCTTTTGTGGCACGGTTGAGTAGCATCAAGGTGTTTTCATAGTATCAGCTGCATCGATGGGAAATTGCAAAGGTCCTGGTGAGTGACAGAGAAAATCGGTTAGGTTTATTGCTTTCTCAGTTCTGTGACATTGCATTTTATTCTTCTAGCCATGCACGAATATATGTTGCTACATGCTATTACTTAGGATGTGAGGAACACGTAGTCTCCCGTAGTAAAGAAAACAACTGTCTCTCATTTTAAACAGGAACTGAGAGCACTCAAGGTGACAACACACCAGCTGGAAGCGGCCGTTTTGGGTAGTAGAATGGGCACGAGAACAAATTACAACATTGCTGATCTCTCATGCTTGCGCGACCATGTCTATCTATCAAATTGAATAGGACTCGTGCACGCATCTAGAGTATATATGTCTTGTTTGATAACCGTCTAGTCTCCAGTAGCTGGCACAATAAATAGAACTAACGACAGTCGATACAATACGCTCTGCAGAAACGTTTCAATGCTATTATAATATTCCGAATGACCAACACGCGAGAAGCTAAGCATGCTTCTTCAATAAGTACCAGATAATAAATAAGGACTGCGAATGAGAACTCAGCAAAAAAGCCTTTTTCGGCGAATATTTGCCAAGCATCCACACCAGAGCTGTGGCAAATAGGCAGCTCCCCGTGATGTACGAGTTTTCGATGAAAGCCAACATAACAAGCATGTGACAAGCTGTTAGTATGACCTTCGTCTTGCGGATAGAACCAAGGCAGACGGGTATGGTGGGGATGCCGGCCTTCATATCATCTTCGAAATCACGGACGTCGGTCATGATCTATAGACATGGTCAGCGTCAAATCCTGGGATCATATACTGGCCACTTACTGCGTGACATGAGCGGTTGACGGTTGACCAGACTATCAGTTGAACAGTACTCCACGGAGACGGTAGTGTGTCAGTCAGACTTCCTGATCCCGACAATACGGTTAGGACAACAGTGTAAATGCCACATCTGAAAGCATTGGTTGACGCGTTCAGCATTCAAGGTAAACATACAGACGTACCCTCGAATGATACCATTAAAAATGGCTTTCATACCGGGGATGCGTTTGATAACCAGAATAGGCGCGGACGCAGGAGGCTGGTGCTCGTGCTCGTCTTCACCAGACCTCCCGGGGAGGCGCTTCACAATCAGCCCAAACTTTGCGAAGTTGATCGGAGTAGTCCAGAGCAAGGCAGGAAGCACGAACGCTGCCGTCGCAAGGACGGTCGAAATTGGGCATACAGATAGTGCGAGTGCGAGGAGCACAGCATCAGCGGTGAGGAAGGTTCGTGCATATACAAACCAACATGCGAGGCGTGGATCATGTGCATTGTTGTGGTTAGACGAAAAGACCTCCTCTTTATCCTTGAGATGGTCAGCGCCGATAGCAAGGATATCCGATGTCACGCAAATGATTATCTGCGCATAAAAATTGAGTGCGATGTTCTTCAGTAATAAATCAGTGAGCGTACCGGTCTCCAGTCGAGCTTTGCACCGGCGGACATGACGTAGGACATAAGGGACGAGAGGGCCAAGCTGTTCATCGATATCACGATGGGCCGCAGGAAGAGCTCGTCTGAAAGCTTCGTGCTTGTAAGGATTGACATCTCAATTCGAGCTTCACCATATGCCAGTCTGCCGCTGTTTATATTGGGCCTGGACGATCGAGTTTACCGGCACCAATCATTTTCGGGCCATCAAAGATTTTCTGCGTGGGATAGTCAAAATCCGTGTTTTCGGGACTCGAAGTCTATTCTTGCCAGCACGCGTGCCAGAAAAAAATGGAGATATCATTTAAAACCATCAGAACGCGAAAGGAAGTCACACAAACATTACCGAGTCCGGTTGTACATAGACGGAGTCCTAGACCAGTTGGTTCAACGGGATTATGCAATGCGCAGCGGGTTTGCACAGTACACATAGGCAGATAGCATCATGCAGCACTTACATTGGTTGTTTCATCATCGAAGTCTCTATTCCTGGTGCGTATCGATAAGTAGAGATTGTGAAGATAGGTCCACCAATAGCAATGTCACATCCGGTCCGAGTATTCGGACCCATGCGACCCTGAGTAACTTGGTCCAACAGCTCAACATCGTGCAAGTCCTAGATAATATTGATGACTATTCTCACTACCACAAGGTCAGCCACCAGGACCTATCAGCTTCTCACCGCTGTAAATCACTGACTGTCAAACTACTCTGATCGAGCAGCTGGTAGTGACATCATCAGCTCTCAAGTCCGACCGAGATTTCGGGCTCGATCTGACTACAACGCATTTTATGTCCGAGATTAATATCTCGTCGGGTCGGTCAGAACGATACGAAGAAGGCAGAAGTAATATAGCACTCACACTTGTTCCAACTTATCCCCATTTTTGGCGTGCATAGTACTATAGGTGTGCATTCGAGTCCCGTTCATTCAAGGTTCACTGGTTCTGAGAAGCGTCTAGTGGCGTCCCGAAATGTCGGATAGAAGCTGGCTCGACTTAGTCTGGTTAAATGTTCTAGTTGCCTGTCGACATTAGCTTTCTACAGCGAGGGATAAAATGAACAGACCTATCCAACACTGTCAATGACGTAGATCTATTCTTGGGAAACACATGGTTTCTTTCTGCTTCAGTTCACTGACTGCCGTAAGAATATGGGACACTTGAGAACGTGCGAGGGAGACATTATTTTTAGCAGACGCACATGTCGCTGAATCTTTGCCACTAACCGCTGCGACCAATGTTTTATTCACTGCGGAAACGACTAGCAAATCCGCCTGCGATGAGCTGCCTGGGATCTATAGATTCTTGAGATAAGTACACCTTACCCAGCACGATGATAAATTCAAAGACAGGGCAACATTAAGAGGGTTGGAATTGCCAGATAGAGCATCCGAGGTTGCGACACCAGCCGTGAAGAGTGCGAAGGGTACCACGAATGTAACAGCCGATACTGCATATGCAGATGTAAAAAAAAAGACAGACAGGTCAGTGAAAACGACATGGCATCATCGACAGCAGAAACTTGCTTGCAATTCCGCCACACACTAACACTAGAGATTGACATCACAAGTATTTTTGACGAGTCGTGATCGCGGTTCACCTGTGGCAAAGCCTTAGTGAAAGTATACCTGAGCAGAACAGAATCACAGATCTCCTGCAGCTAAGTATTGAACTTCTTGGACTCTTGGTGCGAATGAGGGAAATGTTAAAGGAAGATTTCGTCGGATTCAGTCGGAATACCAGCTTTCGTGGGTCTGACAGTCACTAGAATAGTCGGCACTCGAAGTGAGTCTAGTTGAGTTACGACCTCCAACAGAACTCCACTCTGAGTGCTCTTGCATGATATGCGCCAGTAGCAGTATCTAGGAATCGGCACTACTTTGACTTGTCACAGGTGAACTTTGAGTCGCTGCTCCGGGTTCGAGGTGTAAGAGTCAACAAGTGGCGCTGAACGCTCACGTGCCTTTATGTAAAGTTTAAATTTCCTTGAATTCAAGCTTTATTGCAGCTTGTGCCTCTCCGTCTCCATCTCTCGAAACACTGATACAAAATCTTGAAACCACCGCTATCAAGCCAAACGCTACCCCCGGCTTCCCAAATGGCCCATATTTAGTGCGACCATACCAAGGAGCAGATTCTCCTTGCTTTGTTTTGCTGCTGGCCAAAGAACGGGATCTCTGTCTTGGTTTTCTGTGCTAGAATGCTTCAGAAAAACTGGTATATACCCTATAAATCAGTATAAAGGTCTGTTAGAAGTTCGAACCGCCTGGCCAAGAGCGTGTCAATAGTCCAGCAAGATACTTTGGACCGTGTACTACACTTGCGTTAGCCAGAATGACTGACAAGTCATGTTTATGCTGAATACTTCTGTGGTCGAGCAGTCCGGCCCTTCACCTCGTAGATGGTATTCTTTCACGTAGGAAAGTTTTTTTCATTACAGTTCGACCTCTCCATTGACAAGAACGCCTTGACCGCGTGCGACAGTTCAAATCTATCTGGATATACTCGCTCTTTATTGGACCCGTTCTCCCCTTCAAGTGGCGGGTGCTCTCCGGTTCTCGAGGTTGAATTTTTAGGTATACTACGTTTTGAAATTCGATTATCGTCGATCACTTTAACTTGACTAGTACTCTTGCAGGTGAATCTGGGGCGCGGCTCAGTGTTGTTGTAAAGTTTGGGACCTTACTACGCCTGCTTCTAGGGCCGCCACTTGTGCTGTTGGTGAAGCTGCGAACTGGCATACTGGGCGCAACTGCCTTGGATATTCCAGTGTTATGCTGACACTGTCCAGACAGGAACTTCGACCTTGATGAGCGTTAGGACTGAAAGTCTCGTCTTTCAGCTGAAAAAAAGGTTGAACACCAAGTCGCCAATTGTCCAGCGCGTGCCTGGGCCAGAAACTCGAGCAGCAAGTCAAGCTTTTGCGTCGGGGTTTGACGAGTGTAAGTCTACTTTATGCCTGCACATGTGCTCGCATCATCTTTCTGATTTTCTTAGATTACTGAGGACTAGTTACAAGTAAGGAGAATTGTTAGATTCATTGCCATCATCCACTTATTCGATGGCAACTTGGGGTCAGCTTTTCTTATTGCCCCTCACAGCAGCATTCTCGTCAAAACGTGCGTTTCCGTCGTAGCTTCGGGGCTCCTCGTGGCTTGCGAGGGGTGCACGCTGGTGGAACAGGTGGAGACCAGGGAGTTGTGTCAGTAAACACAGACATGGTTGGTTCAGTCGATGACGTGAGTGAGGAGCTCAGTTGTTGTGCAGGGCATCAGCTTATGTTGAATTTATGACTCGTTTTTCGTTGGTGGCGAATTCCGAACGATATCGCAAGGCGGTCGCGAGTGACTGTGCAATTTTCGGGTGAAGCAGCACCACAGTATTTTGTGGAGAACTCGGTTTATCATATATAGGAAGTTGCGCTTATGCATATAAAAAGCCTAGGTAGGTAAGTTAACACAATAAGTATGGTGAGATGACAACAAAGATATAATCTACGAAACTGACTACGAACATATCCTTCGATAGTCAGTTGCACCCAGAAACGTCTCTAAGGTACTTGTCAATTATAACTGAAGATACTGCCTCGTCAACAAATACCAGATAATAAACAAGGACTGCGAATGAGAGCTAAACAAGAACACCTTTTTCGGTGAATTTTTGCCTAGAATCCACACCAGAACTGCGGCAAATAGACAGCTTCCCACAATGTATGAGTTTTCGATGAAGGCCGACATAACCAGCATATGACAAGTCGTCAATACGACCTTCGTTTTGAGTATGGAACCGAGAAGGACGGGTATAGTGGGGACGCCGGCCTTCAGATCGTCTTCGAAATCACGGATATCAGTCATGATCTGTAGACATGGTCAGGGTCAAATTATGTGTGCGATCATATGCTGTCTACTTACTGCGTGGCATGAACCGTTGACGGTCGACCAGACTATTAGTTGAACAACACTCCATGGAGACGGCAGCGTGTTAGTCAGATTGCCTGATCCCGACAACACCGAGAGAACCACAGCGTAGATGCCACATCTGAAGAGCATTAGCTTACGCGTGCATCGTTCAAGGCAAACGTGCAGACGTACCCTCGAATTATGCCATTAAAGATGGCTTTCATGCCAGGAATGCGTTTGATAACAAAGACAGGTGCAGATGTAGAAGGCTGGTGCTTGCCTCCACCAAATTTCCCGAGAAGACGCCTCGAGATCAGCGCAAACTTCTTGAAGTTGATCGGAGTGGTCCAGAACAAGGCAGGAGCGATAAACGCCGCCGTGGTGAGGAGTGTCGAAGTTGGACACTGAGATAGCGCCAATGCAAGGAGCACAGCGCTGGTGGCGAGGAAGGTTCGTGCATATGTAAATCAAGAGGCGAGGCGTGGGTCGTTAGCGTTATTGCGGTCCGACGAGAATTCCTCCTCTTTATCCTTAAGATGGTCAGCACCCATGGCAAGGATATCCGACGTGACACAGATGGTGATCTACGAAGACGAATGCATCAGCGACATTATCTGGTATTAAATTAATGAGCGTACCGGTCTCCAGTCAATACATCCGTTGGCGGACATGACATAGGACATAAGGGTTGACAGGGCCAAGCTGTTCATCGATATTACGATGGGTCGCAAGAAGAGCTCATCTGCAAGCTTCGGGATTGTGAGGATTGACATGTTGATTGAGACTGAAGAGTAGGCAAATGCTACTCACCTCCGCTTTTTATACTGGTGCAACTACGTTCCATCACTCGAAAAACTGGCACGGATCAGGTTAGGTCATCTGTACGAGATCAGAATCAACGTTCAAACCTGTGCTTTTTCAGCACTCGCGCCCCTGGATTTTGCGGATTTTGCCTTGCTTAAGCTTTCGATATCTGCAAAACTTCCTGGCAGTATAATGTATCATGTACTGTAATTGTAGAAGGTATGTGATATATCCACACCTTTAATCCTTAGACAGTGATGTATCAGCCTCTGTCACCTATACCATTTGCCCGTTATATATCATGCTACTATTGAGTGATGTATCAGTATGCATCTATACCGCTTGTCAGTAATATATCATGCTACCATCAAGTGATGCATCAGTATGTTTCCTGTATCATTATATATCATTATTTCTTGTAGCGTTATACATCATTGCCTTGTGACTCAGCGAGTGATATATCATGTATACCATTGCCTCGTGACTTCAGCGCGTGATGTATCCTGTATTGTTATATATCATTCTCGTGACTTTCATGACTCAGTAGTTGATATATCATGCCTAGTATGTCATAAAACATATATTAGAAACCTCCGTCGTATACAAAATTGCCGCTACAAACAAATTGGACATATGCTAAAGTACTTATATCAGTCCGCAGGAGGCTCGGCACTCCATGACGGGACAGCATCCCACAATGACCTGAACCATGCAGACATTCTCCGACGTAGCATTGCCTGGCGATGTGCGTATGCAACCGCACCCTCTGTGAATGCAGGTGATGAAAATTGCCGTCGTGAGCCTTGTGCGTCCCACCATTGAGCCTGCCACTCAAAGAAAGAAAGAACACGGCGCATTTCCTCACGAAGGAGTTGTACCTCCTCCTCCCACCGATGAGCCCATGCCCGTGCCTTGCACCATTCCACACGCAATGCTACAATATATTAATCAAGCGATGCGCACAGTCAAAATCAAAGACTTACAATCCTGCAGCCCTTCCTCCTGATTGTTTGATACCCCAGGCGTTTTCCATATCCACGAAATATTCTGCTGGCCAACCGTCTTCCCTTCGTTGTGGTTGAGTGGGACTGCATCTTTTGCCCTGTCCAGTGGCTTCAGTATCCGCTGCCAGTCGTCGTTCTTGCCTAGTTTTGAAGCAAGCATTATAAGTGCGTCTCGGGCAGCAGTGTACTTAGCTGATATTGCATTGATACGACTTTCGGCAGAGTGAATAATGCCCTGGGCACGAGTGTTCGCACGCTGACCTCGAACGAAGGCGTTCTTGTACTTGTAGAGGTGGTAGGTCATGTTGATGACAGCGCGGAGGTCATCCAGAGCATCATTTGCCTGTGCCTGACGCAGATCCCATTCGTACCTTAGCAAGCGGTTGTCACAAGGGAAGCTCGAGGGCAGCGAAGAAGGGAGAAAAAGTTGTATCTTGTGGACCTTGTCCTCAGAGGCAATATCATCGGGTGAATGCAGGCAGGAGACGTAGGGCATGTACAATAATTGTACTCGGGACCAGGTGCTGATTCTACGACGGAGGGCATTGATGTGCTGGAGAATCTTGATTTTTTGCGCATCGGTTGCATGCTGTCCAATGGTGCGAGCTTCAAGCTCAACACGTCGCCTAAAAACATGTCAGCCACAAGCACAATATGTGATGCGTGAATACGCACTGCTGATCTTCTAGTTCCATCCCTGATGATATAAGGACCGAAGGTGATATATCATCGTCCAGGGAGATGTGTATGCCATGCTCGATTTCTTCTGCCTCAGCCTTCGATAATGCCAGGCGCACAGCGGCCTGGGTCACAGCTGTCAAATTACTCTCAGTGACGTGAATTATCTGACACAAAACAATACTCACTAGTCCTCGCTTTGACTTCAAATGGATTCGTCAGGGAACGGTCTGACTCCCACATCTCGATCTCTTTCCGCCATGTAGCTAATTGATCTGGATCTAGGGCGGCCTCAAACTCCTTCAGATCAGAGGCACTGTTCTTCAACCTCAGGTATTGCAGCCTTATATTTATGGAGGAGAGTTGTGCCTGTGAGAGTAAATCCCAGTCAGTATTGAATTGTTATTGATAGAGTGAAAACTAACCCATGGTGCAAACCTTCTTCCAATTCCAATCGTTGAAGTGATCATCTAAGGTGTCTCGCCTGGATCCAGGTCCCATCGCGCGAGTGCTTGTAGCGATGGGGTTGATATCTGCCCACCCGCGCTCTGGGGCTTCGCCATCAGTCTGCCCAACACCCTTGATGAAATTAAACGAGAATTTCGTTTGGCAACTGGCGATGTGTGCTGGTAGATGAAACTTAGGAACAAAAAATGCGACAACCTTGTGATCGTGGTCGATATGATACTGGTGTGGGAATGTCGACATGCACGACCAAAGATTTTTGTTCCACTGACAGGCGATATCGTAAGATATGTTGAGGACGTGAATGTCTTGTGAAGAGCGCATGCTTGAAAAAAATAGATAATCCATATTGATGTACCTATCAATGGTAGGTTAAGGAAACACGACTATGATGCATTAGATAGAAGAACGCACCTTTCTCCTTTTTGTAAGTCACCAACTGAACACGGTCGTTTGAAATTGTGCCGCGCACAATCAACTGTGCCGCGCACAATCAACTGTGCTGCGCACAATCACTGTGCCTGCACCCGTTGCCGCAAGTCCACGCGAAGCCCTCGTATCTGCTAGGTTCACAGCAGAGTGGCTAGAGCATGTGCTCTTCTACATTTAACCATGGTTAGCGGCAGTGTCTTAGGCAAGTATATTAAACTTACCTCCTGGGGATTCCCCACCCTGTAGTGCGAAGCCAGAAAGTCCTTGTACGCAGTCTCCTCCACAAAAAATGCATACCCGCGATTCAGTCCTGGATCAACAGCATCTGAGGATACATTATGCCGAACTAGTCGGAAATTTGCATCAATAGCCAGGAACATTGCATACAAAAATCTGTGGCTGAGTTAAGAATGAAACGCAAAACTTGTATGGGTGTTCTTACTGGAATTCCGGTGGAGAATTTTCCCACCCAACAGGTAGATTCCTGCTTGGATGGGGACAGGCAGGGCATAAGACGGCACAAGCACCGGCCTCTGTTGCTTGGATGCCTCCAGGATGATGACCCTGACCGCAGTGCTTCATTTGCATCACTGAAGCGCCATTCACGTATCATCCGAAGAAGACTTGCATAGCGATCCTAAGTAATACATGTCAGTACAAATGTATTTGAATACAAGACCACTTTGCCTACCTTTAGGACACGAGTGCCTGTGTTATCCGTGAGGCGAGCAACAGTATTATAAAACTCCCATGCCGATACTTTAGATTCAAAGGACAGCATTTGAAAATACTCTAGCGTGCGAAAGGTGGCGGCTGATTTAGGGTCCAGTGTGGTGGCGGGAAACAAGCGAACACGTAGCAACTGGGTGATGTGCAGCTGTGCAGACTCACATCCACAGAAATCGAGTCCAACTTCATGGACACCATTGTAGTCGATAATAATGAAGTCGTCGTTGAATGTAGGGATCGGATTGACGCATTGGACACCAATGGGATGCCCCAGCTGAAAGCGGACTCCCAAGGCCTTCAATGTGGTGGTCTGAAATGAGGTGCCATTCCAACACTGCGACTTTGTAAGTTCAAAATGATATTCAGAAACAAAAAGTATACACACCTCTATCCTGTGAAGCGGTTGCCTCTCGTGTATGTGCAGAGCGCATGAGAGACACACCAATTCTGCACCGTGACAGTCTTGGCATCGATATATCGGGTCTGCTTCCCCACAGAAACACGTGGTTTGTGCTAAGTCACCGCGACCCTCTAAGCGAATAAATTCTAGTAGAAAGAGGTCGGCATCAGAATTCCACAGGTGCAAAGGATCATCCTAAGGAGACCTTGGTTAGAATGACTACTGCATTGACAATCAATATGACTTACCCCAGCAGTCCGCTTTCGCTTGCCAGAACCAATATCCTCATCAACGTCATTGAGTGATGAAAAATCAAAATTGTCTGTTGGTAGATCGTGTACGTCTTGTGATTCAGGCTCCCCAAATCGGCGTTTGGCGGGTGAGTGTGGGACTGTGTAGTATAGTGAAGAAACAGCAAGACGACCAGTAGTTGCGGCCTCAAAACTGATGTGTTTGCGCTGCTGCTCCTGGCGAGTCTCTTGCGGAGTGTCGTTGGTCTCATTTCTGACTGCTCTTCCCGCAGCATCATTGTGAGCAAAGAAGTTGTTCTGGAACTGCCGGAGATTTCGCCGCTTTCGACTAGCAACCATGGTGTATTCTGAGTCTTGAGATGAGGCTGCGTACCATGTGCCAAACACCGGTTTTTCTTGGTTCTTTTACGTGTAGATAAGCGTAGGACCAGTGCGACTACACTACAGGTCAAGTTAATCCAATGTAATCAGATAACATTAAGAAACTGACGCATGACTCATTTGGAAGGTGTTTGCCAGCTAAGTGAACCTGCTGATATAGCATCATCATATGCTTCAGTACCGCCCTGATCTACCAGTGCAAAAAACTCCCTTTCTGCAGCAAGCCATCGTGTTGTCAAATGGAGCAGTTGCTCACACTGCTGTGATAGAGCGTCATGCCCAATCCCTGGTGCACATAGCCGTACACTCTCTGCCAGGTTGGTAATGCACTGGTGCAAATTGTGCACATAAGTATATGCATCTTCGAGCTCGGGGGATATTACATCCCATCCTTCTGTGTCAATGCGTTGAAGTATTGTAAGAAACCGTTTCATGAAGGTATTGTGCTCAGGAACTCCTGCTCTGTAGCCTAGCTCCATGTACAGTATATCAATGTCTTGAAACTTGACGACAATGGACTTAGATAGTGGTCAACATATATCGTGCGCACTGACACAAGAAAGACTCACTTCACTCATTTGAGAGTGTTTTCGCCAACGAGTTCGTGACTTCGCCTGCTCCGTGGTCTTGTTTCTAGATCAGAACGAACCAGATAACTGTTAATTCCATAGGACAGTGATAAAAGCTAACCTTGCATAGTGAGCTCGCTTGCTTTTCAATCTAGCATTGCGACGATCTTCTTCAGACTTGTATTTTGGCGGCATCGATATGGGTAACTTAGCATTTGGAATTGGTTCACGGCAAATGGCCTGATGGGCCAGTCTTTTCGAATGGGAGCCACACTTCGGGACAGATGACATGTAGAATGCAAATGGTAGCCACACTTCGGGACAGATAGATTTGTATACTGTGTTGTACTTACTTGGTACGGGTTGGATGATCACTAGAAGACTTAATATTAAGAATGTCCGACTTGCGCGCAAAAGATGTTGGATGTGACCATGGCAAAAGCTTATATTTTAATATGTACAAATGACGGAGCATATAGTACAGAACATATCACACTGCCTCACTGCACCATGCATTAAACGCGGTCTGAAAATGCTCCTTCGCTTCAGAGAGTGTTCTAAAGTAATATACTGTTGTGCCGGTAGCACGAAGTTTGCGGGCAGTATAGCTAAGTATTGAACATGAGGCACAAATCCAAATGAATGAAGAGACCACGTACATGTCATCGAACAATCCCATTCCATGATCGCCCGTACTTACAAACCATTTGAAACGACTAGCAGGGTCGATGTCAATATTGACAAGTGTTTCAACACTGGAATTGACATCAACCATCCGACGCTCTCGCTGAGATTCTTCCCCATCACTGGAGGGAAAGTCAAGCTCGGAACCAGGGCAAAATATCTTCATCGACATTGTCCGCAGGGCCGATCCAGACGTCAGAGACATCAGTGTCGTCCTCGACAACATTTGCGTGGCTGTCGCTGTCTATTGCGCCCTGGTGAGGGTCTGCACAGTGCGTATGGTGTCAGCTTTTTTAAAAAAATGGTAGTTAAATTGAGCATACCGTGTCGCGCATGAAGTGCGCAGTCTTCACCTTCCGGTCGATAAGGCCAACCATATGGTTGGGGAGAGAATGGGGGAACTTTGCAATAATCAGTGAGCATTATGGAGAGCTGGAAGTAAACGACTTACTCTGTCCACTCTGAACCAACCGAATGGCCTCGATGAACTGCTCGAGTGTGAAGCAGGGATGGGGTAACATTTGAACGGGACGGTTGTGGCAGCACCTGATATCTGAGTGGGACATGTTTGCGAAGCTGAATGAAGGCAGTAAGTTCAAGTTAGCAATGAAGAAAAAAGTATTTGTACTCCTCATCGATTGATTGGTATTGATTGGTTGACTTTGTGAAAAAAAAATGAGCTGAATAAGGATGCGGTGAGGAAATTTGTAACGCACGAGTGACCTGCTGCACCCCCCCCCCCCCCCCCCCAAAAGGCGACCGGAAAGATGTGAGCATACCAGCTAGAAAAAACGGATATCGCACTGACATTGTATGCTCAGATGGCTCCTCCGAGGTGGACGACGGCAGCGGAACTTTCATGGCTGCAAAACGAAGTGCCAACATACCTTCAGATGCAGAAAGAAAAGAAAATAGTTCGATTCTTCGAACTACTGTACCCAAAATGGTTCAGTGGTTTCCCCGAACATTTGAGAGTTTGGCCCAGAGAGCCAAGCAAAAACTCACCTGACGAGGACACCGAGATCGACGAATCTGGTCTTGACTTGGCCAATGATGAGGTCAACGCTGAGCCGGACCATGAAAACAGTGTGAGCGACGGGGAAAAACTCTCCCAGTTGGATGCAGAGCAGACAGAGGTGCTCAATGCTGCCATCAAGCATCGACGCAAAGTGCATTTCTTTGATATCGAGCTGAATATAGGTCGGAATCCTGATTAGCTGGTCTACAGAAATTGCGGGAGTGGTTTCGAAACAATACCAAAGGAAAAACTACACCTGGTGGGACCTCAACTAGCAAAATCCTAACTACGTTGCTTGGCCAGTGTGCACGAGGCACCCGAGACCTCAAAGAAGTCGAGGTGTACTCGCAAATTCACTATGAATCTAAAGTCAAGCCCTTAGTTTCTGACGACATCAAGGAAAACAACCTTGTACTACCTGATCAGAAGCTTCGTGCTATCCGGCAGCACACGAGCGAATGTTTTGCAAACGAGTCAGAAGATGTAAAGGATGAGGTTCGCGATGAGACTGTGCGTATCAATGCTGCCAGAAAGTTGGGATCAGTTGTGGCGGGTCAAGATTGGACAAAAGAGGAAATTTACCGGTAAGCGATTCTTTGATGTTGTTGTGTCCGACTTCAGCGCTTCAGCTGATGCCTTTTGGAAGTGCCATTCAAGAGCTGCCCATCGTGCTGGGTCAAATATTCGAAGAGCTTTCAACTCTCACGGGTGGATGGCACTACTCACTTGTTATGGGTGGGCCTGACCCTTTATGCGAAGGTGATATCATGACGTTAAGGTGCGTCTTTCTTGCTATCTCATTTGCAAGAAGTTAATTCGTCATCTTTTGTTAGTTATCACCACGGTAAATCCTTGGAGGGTTTGAGCTTCAAGACATCGACACCAAACTTCCACGAACAATATTTGTTACCGTTTGAAAAATACCTGGGTCACATCTATGGTAAGTATCATCCTCGGTTAGTTCATAGAATAACAGCTGATATATCAATAGGTCCTTCTGTGAAGGGAACTTCAGTTCCCGCTTCTGCATCCAGTTCACCTCCTCCATCAACTATCAACCTCGTTTCGCCATCTGCACCCTGTGCGCCTCCTCCATTGACGACGGATTTCATTTCAACATCCGCACCCAGTGCGCCTCCTCTATCGACCATGGACCTTTCGACATCTACACCCAGTGTGCCTCCTCTATCGACCACGGACCTTCCGACATCTACATCCAGTGTGCCTCCTCTATTGACCATGGACCCTTCGGCATCCACACCCAGCGCGCCTCCATGGACCATGGACCTAATTTCGCTAGATGAGCCATCAGACCAGTCAAGTGCCCGCCTACTTCAAGGGCAGGAGTTCAATACTTCTGGTCTGGTACTTGATCCACCCCAATGGAATGGATGGCAAAGTCACCCAGACCCCAACCCATCTTACATGTCTTCCATCGCTCCAGACTCGCCGATCACTGCTTGGAGAAGGGAATATGGGTTCAACGGAAATGGGACTACGTCTGCCGCACTCCCAAGCGCCATCATGCAGCCTCAACTGCCATTTTCCCCACCACTCACCTTCGTACCAGACATTCCTGTTGATCAACATTTGCTGCTGGCCTCTTTGCCTGAATCTTTGCTGCCGGTCTCTTTACCTTCACTGCCGGTCTCTTTACCTTCGCTCCCGGTCTCTTTACCTTCGCTGCCGGTCTCTTTGACCAATCACGCGCTGCCGGTACCTGAACGTGCACTGCCGGTCTCTTTACCGGAACCAGCACTGTCAGTCTCTTTACGGAAACCTGCGCAGCTGGTCTCTTCACCACAACCTGCGCTGCCACTCGAACCTGACCAGGTCATGTTGGCGCATAATTCAAAGCCTTCAACATCCTCCGAACACACTGTCGCAACCCAAGCTAGGCGCTCGGGACACTCAGGACGTCCTTCAACTCGAGCAGAGGAAGCTAACAAAATTGGTGATACCAGCTTACAGCAAGTGACGAAGGCGGGACCTAAGAGAAAGCAGAACGTGGTACAAGCTTCAGAGTCTCGGAAAAAGTCTCGGAAATGAGGTCATTGTGGGCCTCCAGCCTTATAGATACATACTATGCCTATGCACCCTTGTCAACAATGTTAATTTGAGATTTTTTGGTGTTCGTATTTGAATGCTTCTGCCGCAAGACAATTCAGACCATCTAACACTGTATCATTAGCATTTTACTGATATACTGGCAGTAAGATCATGATATATCACACTGTATGCTAGCCGCAGTATACCACTAGAGTAAGTGATATATCACATGGAACACTGTAGGGTGAATTCAAAAGCTAAGTACATCATGATATATCACACTGTATGGCTAGCCGCATTATACCAGAGTAAGTGATATATCACATGGAACACTGTAGGGTGAATTCAAAGCTAAGTACATCATGATATATCACACTGCTAGTAGGGTGACGCTGAATTCAAAAAGCTAAGTACTGGTGATATATCACAATCCAAGTAGCATATTTTATTAATACTCAGTAGAGGGCGATGATATATCAATAAAATGCAATGTATCATGATTTACAGTGGATATGCTACTAGTATATGAGGCAGTGATGTATCATGAAATATATTATTTATCACTGGTGGTAGGTGATGTATCACGCTCTATTGGTTACTGAAGGTGGGGGACAAGTGATATATCATTGATACATCATATGTCTATGCCTATGGTTTATAGGTGTGGATGTATCACTACCCTTCTACAATGACAGGTAATTGATACATCATTATGACATTATAGCCTGATATCTGCGCGCTGGGCCAAAAGCGGTGTGAGAAGTCGCATTGGCTATAGTCTGGCTCGGGTGGTTTGAATTCACAGACGGTGTCCTACAATAGTTGGTTAATGAGACTACGTGTATGAAGTCTCAATACACATCCAGGTACTCGTGTGCTGTGCAGCACTTACATTCGAACAATTTGGCTTGTTTTCGGATTCCTATCATGCAAAAGTAGCGTTAAACGTTCTGGTTGCCTGTCGACCATCTTTTCGTTTGATGAGTAAGAAGAATAAAACCAGACCTGGCTGACACTCCGTCGATGTCGTAGATTTGTTCTTGAGAGATGTATTTTTGCACTCAGTCACACCGAAGTACACCGAAGTCATGACCTACTAGTACATCTTTGTATTACGTTAGGCAGCACATGAGGGAGTCGTTATTTTTAGCACGCCTATTAATTAAGAGACAATTAATTGCTCGACAAGCCGCCTGTGATAACATTGACATTCGTACCTATCATTAGAGTCTATACTTGATATAGTTGTAACTGTCTGATTGTGGTGAATGAAACAATAGGAGTGGAGTGGCCTCCTTGTGGTACAACCGTTGGTTCCGAACGCGCATTTTCTAGCTGGGCGTGATAAGGCGGTATATGTGCATTGCAATGGTAATGCTGGTAAAATCTGTATATGAAAAGAACAGGTACTAGGCCTTGGAAACTCGGCACCAGCCGCAGAGATGCCCAAGAGCGCCCAAAAGATATCGTTAGAAGTGGGGCCATCGGAAGGTACGAAGTTCGGCTCCCGCGCGCTTGACCGCATTTGGATTCATATGCAACACATGTACCAGCGAGTAATAGGAACCTACCTCTGGCGCTCACCAACGCAAACGTGAACAGCAACGACGAGGAGAGGCCCTCAATCTGATTTGCAATGTTCGCGTTGCAAACTTCTCACCTTGCTCCGATATTGACCGGTGCTTTGGATTTCTGCAATTGCTAAGTACAGTTTTGAGTTTCTAGATTTTACATCTAGGTTGTTTTTTACGATGTTTTTTTTTTTATCTCCTGACAGATTATCTTCCATCCAACATGACCTTGCTTTGCAAGGTGACTCAACCTACAACTCGGGTTGTTCACTGTTACCCATCACTTTACCGTACTTGTCCAGAATACCCGCCATCCTCATCTAACTCCCAAGTCAACCCTTCACCGCACTGAACTCCACTCATTCGTCACTTTTGCTGGCCCTGTCCTTCTCGAATCTCCAGTGATTGACTGCGCGCTTTTAGTGTTCATGCCCTCATATGACCACCGCTGTCCTCCGCCAAAGCTGACCTTCCCTCCGCCCAACTCATCCTATATTATACCCCCAACAACGCCGGATATACAGTCACGGAGTTATTCAACATCGATGTTTCCAGCCTCAAAGTTGCAACCGCGTCTCCCGGGCCTGCAGATATGGAGGATCGTACTGTTCATGTCTCATCGGCATCATCATCGCCGGGTATTCCAAAACACAAGCCTGCTCTGGTATCACCACCGCCATCCTCTGTCACACCCGCAAGCTCGCTTTCCAGATAAAAATGAGTATTCCCCTGCAGGACAACCTTCCCGCCCCTCGCGAACGGCAACTCAAACAGCAATGAGTTCAACGTGTTGTCCATTTCGAGATCCTTTGTCGAAGTTGGACAAACCTAGAACATAAACAGACTCGACAAGTCTCCTCTTTACTCCAACATTACGTCGACATACTGTCTAGCATTAGTAGCAATAGACACAAATACACTGATCTGCATGGACTCTATCAATCGCGCGTCCGATCTCATTCCTTCGACCATCTCACCACTGAATTTGACAATTCTCACCTGGTCATGCCTACAAGGGTGGAACACTCAAAACACTACGCTTGGACATGCAAAGCATCTAGCGACTGAAGGGATTGGTCGAGTGACTGCCTGATGTAGGGCCCAGGCCGGTTACAATGACAAAGACCTCCAAAGCCCTGTCGGGCCTCAGTGTCACGCAATTCCATATCAGTCTTTACTTGACTATCCACATTGAGCTGACCTCCATCGATGTACATATCTCTGGCAAGTAACTATCCTGGTGCTGACTCGATGTTGTAACAGATAATGAAGCCTTCAAACGGATGTGGTTACTTCAAGGACAATGCACTCTCGCGTCACATGGCCCACATCCACTAGTAACACTAGTAATCTCCACAAAGCGTCCCTGTACGAACTCCACAAGCGTTTGTCCACCGAGAAGCGCAACTCCGCATGTGTCTGTCCACCACAAACCACAATGGCACGACCACCACCGGGAATCGTATATATACCTACCCCAATACCTACCCAGCATCATCATCACCCCAAGTTGAATCACATTCACCTCACACAAAATCAAGTAGTATCCCCACTCATACTCTTCTATAACCAATCATGCCTAAGGTAAGCCCAATCACGCACATGCTTCATGCACTCACTTGAAGACCCTCCTGAAATATTTAGCGCTACACTTGTCCTGCTGGCTGCGACCAAACTTTTACCAAGTTCGGCGACATGAAGAACCATGAGATCACACATACAATGAAGTACGTGTTTCTCCTCTGCGGTATACAGCTCACCTCACTTATATTTGCTCATGCAGGGGATACTTCTGCATGTGGCCCGGGTGTGACTTTGTGACAAAGAAAAAAGACAGCTACAAAATCCATACTGCTAAGCAGTACGTGCTCGATCATCATCGTCATGGATTCCACCTAATGAAGAATTTTATTTTATTTCATCTTAGTGCGGGCGAGGAACGCTCCATTTGTCCTCACGATGATTGTGACTACAAGACAAACGACCCTTCCTGCCTCACGAGGCACTGCAAGAAACAACATGGGTATGTTCCTGTGCCGCGCGGTCATGGTGCCCCCTCCGCAACAGGGTTGCAGCCTCCGGCACAGCTCCCGCTCCCTGGTACATCATACCAATACCAACCACAACCTACTCAATACCAACCACAACCTACTCAATACCAGCCTCCCCCACCTATCCATAACCAATCGTTGGGAGTCTTATATGGCTCAGCAGATACCGCAGACCAGTATACCATTTATACCGGACCCGTGAGGGCCCAAAATGGGTGGACTGAGGGTTGTATGTGTCCTGAATTGATGCAGAGATGCCCTTCGGAGATGCCAGGGTATGAATATAGGCGTCATTAGTTTTGCATAATCTCGAGACTCTGGAATTATCCTGTGTTACTTTTTCTTTCTTTCTTGATGATGCTCGTTCATGTCTGGACTCGACACCCTTCCACTCATTTATATATCTCATTTATCACTTATCTAAAAGCACTTTGCAATGTTTTGTCTACAGCTAAAGGCTAATACACTCTTTTATCAATGTAATACGTTCCTATTATTAGATCGGTATCTCCACTGATGCAGCAAGTCCCCGACTCCCTTTCTTGTGCAATTGCCTCTCTATTACATAGTGAGGCACGAATGAAGGATTAGAGTATAGTCTTCGGGCGAGCGGAAAGCGCCGTGTGTGCCTCTTGTTTCCGCTCTCCCACCTAGCTCGTAGACTTAAGTCCTTTCGAGCTTTTCCTTTTCTTTCCTCTCTTTACCCAATACCCAAGGCAATCCCACTAGATCATTTAGTCCACTTCCATTTACCAAATTATAACTTCACATTTAATTCACTCGTCATGGCCCGCATCACTTCGGACCCAGCCTTAGACATCCAACCTGATTTCTCTTCTCCTACCTTCGAAGGCCTCAGAAACCGAATCATTGGTGGCACACCAACAACTCATGCGGAAGTCGCAGCTGACTTGAGTACAGCCTGGCAACAAGACTGCAACCTTTGTGTCATCGCTTGGACGACACAAACAACTGAAGACGCTCGCCTCGTAGCCAAAGCTACCAAGGCAGAACAAGAGCAAGCAGAGCAAGAACGCCTATGGTTAGAACTCGAAGCTGAAACTGAGCTTTGCGAAGCTGAGAAGAAGAAGCCAAAAATCAATGATTTTCAGACAGGCACAGCCGTCAGCGATATGCTAACTCCTCACCCATCACAATATGCCATCCACAAACTAAAATCCTTCGAGTACGTTGAGCTCTGGTACTTCAGCCCTGATGGATGCAAGGCAACAGCTGATGAGGCCAAAATCAACGCAGATGACACCTTCGGTTTCACCAAAGTAGATGATTTTGTAGCTCTCAAGCCAGTTGCCTCCTTCAAAGCCTCCCGCAGAGCCATCCAGGACCACAGTCTTGAATGGCGCCAATTTGACCTCGCCAAAACAGCTACCTCCTGCACATCAACAAACTTAAGTGGCCAGAGAAGCACCAACGGGTGCTCACCATGTTCTTCATGAACATTGTCACTCACCCCTCCCACTCTGAGAACTTTGGCGAACAGGCCCTACTCCTATACCCAGTGCGTGTCTGCTGTGACTGGCATGATACCCTTGTCCTCAATAACACCTTCGACATTAGTGTGTTCAACCTCACACTACTAAAGAACATGACCGAGGAAGGCTGGAATAAGGCCCGTCATGACACCCTCACTGAGGTCAGTTCCCTTAACAGACCCTCACACTGAGACCATTAAACTAACTCCTTTCTTCCCATATCCACCACCATCTTCAAACAAAATGCTACCTCTGCCTATGCTTCTGCTTCTGCTGCCGCTCCAGCTACTGCTACCTCTGCTACCTATGCTACCACTACCCTGCTCCCACTACCCTGCTTCCGCTACCCTCACTCACGCTACCATGCTCCCATTTGAAATGCCCATCCCAGCTCCAACAAGCTACCCAGTCACAATGCCACACCAGCCGTGACCATCACACCTCCCAGCGCAACCAACCTCGTGGAGGCAACCGCCACACCCGGTCATGCTCCTGCTCCCCAGCTTGAAATGTGCCACCTCACCCTCCCCTGCATGTCACCTCTCCCAACCACCAGCGTCCCCGCCAAGAGCACAAACGCCCAGCCCAGGACAAACAGTCTTTTCTGGCCAGTGCAGCATCACCCAGCCTCTTTGCCTGCGCTCTCTGCCTTGGCCACTTCCCCCACAATGTCCACAGATGCAAAAATGAGCTTCTCTGGGACAGCAAGACACCCACCTTCTGTCGCCGGAACGCAGAAGGACGACTCGTCAATGCCCAGGGCATGCAGCTCTGTTACAACTGGCAGCGCCCCAATGGCTGCATGAACAGAAGCAAGGACCACATCCACCAGTGTTCAGGATGCGGAGGTTCAGACCATGGAGCTCAGAGCTGTCCTCGAGGACAGGAAGCTTAAGGCACTCACTCCTTACAACCCCGAGGCATGGTGCCTCACGCTCACTAGATCCCACCTCATACTTAATTACCTGCACATACCTCACTCATTACAGTATGGTTTCCTTGGTAGCATCCCCAGTATCACATGTACATATACACCTCCTAATAACCCCTCCATTATTGAACATGCAGACGCTTTCACCTCAATCCTTGCCTGAGAGTACAAGACTGGCCATTACCTCAGCCCACTATCTGCTGCAGACATGGAATCTCTCATTGGTCCCTTCCAGACTGCTCCACTCTCACTCATCCCAAAGCCAGGCAGGCCCAGCAAATTCCGTCTTATCCAAAACTTATCTCACGGCTTGACATCCCTCTCTTGACCAGTCAGGTCCATCAATTCATATATCGATTCCAACCTCTACCCCTGCACATATGGTACCTTCGCTACAATATGTCTACTGGTCTGGCGCCTCCCACCCAGCTCAGAGGGTGCCACTCGTGACGTGGCAGAGGTGTACCGCACCATCCCACTACACCCCTCTCAATACCCAGGTACAGTGGGAGCCCCTTCAGTGACAAATCCCGTATTATACGGGTCACCCGACCTACATAATATCCCGTGTAATACGGGCCAGCGGATTATGGGCCGATGTTATGTATATTCCCGATGTTGACGGGTGGGCCGGGAGGCATATTATTTCCGATGGAGACGGGTGGGCCCATCTATGCTGATGTTATATATATCATTGACGATAGCGGATGGGCCGGGAGAAATATTATTATGGAGATGGGTGGGCCCATGTGGGTAATATGTAGAGTAGGATTGACATATATTATAGACCTGAGGAGAGATGTATAGCAAATAGTATTATATAGACGTGTGGGCCGACGTATTAGTATTATTTTGTAGACGGATGGGCCGAGGGAGTGGTGAAATATTTATTAGATAGACGGGTGGGCCGACGTGGGGTAATATCAGATAGACGGGTGGGCCGAGGGTGAGCGGAATTATTTATGACATAGACGGGTGGGCCGACATGGGGTCATATTAGATAGACGGGTGGGCCGACGTGGGGAATTCTACATAGATGGGTGGGCCGACGTCGGGTAATATTAGATAGATGGGTGGGCCGACGTCGGGTAATATTAGATAGACGGGTGGGCCGAGGGTGAGCGGAATTATTTATTACATAGACGGGTGGGCCGACGTGGGGTCATATTAGATAGACGGGTGGGCTGACGTGGGGAATTCTACATAGATGGGTGGGCCGACGTCGGGTAATATTAGATAGATGGGTGGGCCAAGGGTGAGGTGAATTATGTATTAGATAGATGGGTGGGCCCAGATACATATCATATAGACAGATAGGCCTAGGTATTGTACATTTTTACGAGTTTTGAGGCTCGAGTTAAGAAAATTCAAATTTAAGATGATATACATTTTTGTTGTCTTGAAATACCGAGACCCGAGACCCGAGATTCGGCACTCGGTAGTCGGTGAAATGAGTACAGAAATACATAAGATAATACACATTGTTCTCAGAATCACAAGTTTCAAATGTCGATTTGTAAATCACGAGTCACAAGTCTCGAGACTCGAATCACCGAGTACCGAGTACTGAGAACTGAGTACTGACACCCGACACCCGGAATTCGGCACTCGGCATGCGAGACAAAAGATTGGAAACAAAACTCAAAATTCGAAACTCGAAAGTACTGACTACCGAATACCAAGTACCGAGTACCGAATCTCAGGACTCGGTACTCGGTATTCGGTACTCGACACGATGCTCGAAACTCATAAAACTGTTTCGAATCACCAAGTACTGACTACCGAGTGCCGAGACCCGAGATTCGGTACTCGGTACTCGGTAGTCAGTACTCGGTGATTCGAAACAGTTTTATGAGTTTCGAGCATCGTGTCGAGTACCGAATACCGAGTACCGAGTCCCGAGATTCGGTACTCGGTACTCGGTACTCGGTAGTCAGTACTCGGTGATTCGAAACAGTTTTATGAGTTTCGAGCATCGTGTCGAGTACCGAATACCGAGTACCGAGTCCCGAGTACCGAATCTCGGGTCTCGGCACTCGGTAGTCAGTACTCGGTGATTCGAAACAGTTTTACGAGTTTCGAGCATCGTGTTGAGTACCGAATACCGAGTACCGAGTCCCGAGATTCAAGTGCTTTCAAGTTTCAAGTTTCAAGTTTCAAATCTGTCATCTCAAGTGCCGAGTGCCGAATTCCGGGTCTCGGGACTCGGGACTCGGAACTCAGTGACTCAATCAATGGACTGGCAGAGGTTACATTCATTGAAAACTTGTATATACATCTATCACTATGCAATTATGTAGCCATGTCAACCTCCACAGAAGACTCTTCAACCTTCACCTCCACCTCAACATCCATGTTGCTGGAAGAGTCATATTCTGGGACAAGGTTGCTTGGATAACCTGGGTCCACAATTTCGCCAGACGCATCTGGATCCCCTGGATGAACAACTTGGTTGTAGTCGAACAGGAGACCCTCAATGGCAGAGGCATCCGGGAATGTCGGGGCTGCGGGTGTGGGAGCCATTGTTTCCATACTGAGATCAATCAGAGGAGGGAGTGCGGATTCTGGGGGTGACATGGTGGGGGGGGCCGGATTGATCAAGCAACAAGGATGTTGCAGGGGCAGGAGTGTCGGGAAGTGGGAATGAGGGGTGCCGGTCGATGATTTCGCGCCTAAGGCCTTCATGAAGGCGTTGCAGGGTGTCAATCTTACCATCCTGCTCTGCCACACGAGCCTCCAGAAGAGCGATTCGAGCTGCGCCATCTCGAATCGCAATGGACATGGCATGGAGATCTGGCATGGGCACCCCAAGTGCTGCAGCAGGGACTGCCGACCTGGAAGACGGAAGGGCTACAAGGGAAAATGAAGGTCAGACGGTGATGAAAAACTCGGGTGACTTACGAGCTGGTGCAGGTGCGGGTGCAGGTGCAGGTGCAGGTGCAGGTGCAGGTGCAGGTGCAGGTGCAGGTGCCTTGACGGCAGTGATAGTCTTGCTGCGACCACGCGTCTGGGTCTTGGGAGTGGTCACAGCAGTGACACCAGAAGTTCCGGCCCGGCCACGAGACTGACTGCGAGTTCGGGCCCTGGACTGGGAGGCAGGGGAAGCTTTGGAGGGGGCGGGAGTTTTGGATGCGGGGGGAGCCTTGGAGGGAGTCTTGGAGGAAGCCCTGGATGGTGTTCTGGACCTCGTCTTCCGGGTAGTAGAGGAAGAACGATCGCGAGGAGGCGGGGATCCCATAGTCGCGGGGGTGCACTTGATCTTCTTTGTTGTGCAGTAGACGCACGACATACATGGAGCCCCGGTCCTCTTGTCCGGCCGAGTTGCGCAAGGCCAGTTGTGCTTGTGGCAAGCATAGCATGGGTTGTTCTGTTGGTTGTATTTGTGTATGGACACATGAGATATTTCAAAGTACTCACCGGTCCGGGAATGAGAATGTCAACTGCAGGGATGACTGGGGGTGCCTGCACCGGAGGTTCGGGAGTGGGCTGGGAGGGCTCCACAACTGCTGTGTGACTGCCGGCAATCACCTGGTATAATGTAAGCACCCACCCGAGTCCCGGACGCATAAATGACACTTACTGTGGCAGGGCCAAAGGGCTTCTTCTTGGGTACCCGGGGCGAGCGAGGCGAATCAGGCGTCCTTGCGACAATTGTGGAGAGCCGGGGAAGGACGACCTCCGGCACTCCACCCAAAGGTGGCTACACGAAAATGAGAGACAATGAAAAAATGAACATGACGACATACCTGCATAACCGAGTCTTCATCATCTTCCGACTCCACGATGGCCTTGGACTTCACAACGCGAGCAGACCTCTGACGCTTGTGACTCTTCATCGCGGATTTCGGGGGTTGGGAGGAGGGTCCAGAAATCCAGGGGGACTTCCTCTTCTTACTCCCTTCTGCCTCGGGGTCTGGGTCAGCGAAGACGGCCTTACCTTTCCCCTTGTCCCGGGACTCGGTGGTGGGGTTGGTGGAAGGGCCGGCGACATTGCCGGCAGGGATGGCTGGGGAGGGAAGGTTGACAGGAATCGGACCTGTGGATGGGGGGGCAGCAGTTGGGAGATCGAAGGTCTGGTCGCCTAAGGCGTTCCAGGCGAGGACCTTGGGGTACCAGGCGTGCCTCAGAATGCGAGGATCGTCATACCCGATGGAGTGCCAGTCTGGCCAGACCTTGGGAACCATGTTGCGGATGCGCTGGAGCTCTTTGGAGCATGAAATGATGAGGCCGGGAATAGGACCATCCCCGGACCCATACTCCTTGGCTACATCAGACTACCAAGATGTTAGAGAAGAAAAAGCACCCAAAAAAATACATACCACAAGTGTAGCAACCTGTTTTCCCAAAGCCGAGTGGCTGGGACCCGGGGGGAATCTGCCGGGCGGCACTGATGATGGCCATGATCTGGGCAGCGGATGCCTTGAGATGGGTCAAAGAGTTGTCAACTGGAGTGGACATGATGAGTGGGTTGAGAGATTTAAAGATCTTGAAATCAGATTGAAATCAGTTATCAGAAAGATGAAGTTTCAAACAAACAAGACATTTGATGGGCGATCCACAAAATCGTTTATTGTTTGTGTTTGTTTGGTCGTTGTTCAACTTTCGGCAATTGCCGGCTTTGTGTCGAACTTCGAAGTTTTTTAGATCATCAGTCAATCAGTCCACCAATTCTCCACACATGAGTGCCCATCCAGCCGTTAGATTTAATGACCCACCGGTGACCGACCATAATTCTATGGATGTGGATGACTCATCTATGGGCCGGGCATCACTAGGTATGTTGTATTCTTATCATGCCTTATCTATTCACCGGGTATCCCTTAGATGACTTAGATGACTTATACCTCGGGCCGGATGATGACATAGAATATGATTCTATGTCATCCGGACCCCCGGATGCGTCGGCTGCAATACCCGGTATGACTATACATTACTGATGACCTGGGATCACCATGCATGCTAACTTCACCCTTGAAGATCAATCACATCCGGGTCAAGCTGATGATGCCAGCTGTCTCATTGATCCAGACTTGTACCTCGGGCCTGAGGATGATGTCATTGATGTTGATGAGTTGCTGGACTCTGCTGATCCTCCCACTTTTGCTCCGGCTACCTCAGAGGTGTCTATTTCATGTGGGTCCATTCATTCTGGACCATTATGGAGACTGATCTTATCTCCCAAGCCGACAAATCATCTACCGAACTCCCTGGAGACCAGCCGGAGCTCAATATCGAGGATGTACGGTTGATGGGTCCGGGAGCTCCATCCTTTCGGAAAATACCAACACCCAGAATGTGAGTATCTGAAAGCAGAGCAGTTATCTTTGAGCTAATCTTTCCTGGAAGACCAATCCGTCCAAGATCGACTCCATGATTACAAACGCCGTACTGGAGGTCTTCCTGACCCTTCCATCCAACAACTAATCGAGGCCGAGCGTACAAAACACTCTCATCCCGCCCGACATCACAAACACTCTCATCCCGCATTGCCCTCCACATCTCCTTCGAAAAGTGCTCCATATACGCCGGTCCCTTCTTACGAGCCACTTGTGCTTGTATCTCGGGAGGAGGAAAGTTGCTGGACCATTCTTCAGCCGTGTCTTTCGCCTTCTCCAACTCATCATCGGACAATTCAGCCATGACTCTTTTTACGCCTGATAATGCTTGAACATACCGGGACCTCCTGGCTTTGCCCCGGACTCGTCCTCAATCCTCTTCAGCACCTCCTCCCGTTTCTGCTGGTAGATCACCTGCCTAGGAGTCCATTTTCCTCCCATACTTTATCATGTCCTTCCTCTCCTTCTTTTTCTGGTTGTTGAACAACCATGTCTTGTACATCTGAGAGTTCATGGAAGAATAAGTGTTAAAATTTTAGTTTTGAATGAAGCAAGGATGAATCACCTGCTTCCTCTTCTTCCATTGTGCTTGGTCGACCTTGGGAGCAAATAGCCTGGCAGCCCTAGCTATGGCAGTGAAAACTGCCCTCTTCTCAATCCTTTTCGCCGAAGTCCACTCAGGAAGGTAGTTCTTCAACTCCGAAATTTCGTTATCCGTGAGCTTCTGTGTCTGTGGTTGACGCGCCCTATGTCTTCCAGAAGTGGAAGTCAACTGAGTGAATGACCTGATCTTGCCATTGTGAATGAGATTGCAGAAAGGGCTGAGGATGAGCAAGGTGGAAGTAATATAGGTGACAAGTTCAACTTTGAGCAAAGCCTAACAGTTGGTTAATCGACCCATAGTGGACACAATTCCATTATTGGAAATGAATTGTAATGACGCATCAAGCCCGCATAAGATCACATTGCAATAACAATTTATTCGCATTCCTGAGCTCGTGCTTTGCTTGCAGCCTTAGAAAATAACATGAAGATAGGTAGATGCACCCCACTGCAAAGATCCCACAGGGTAGAAGCAAGGGGAAGCAGAGGTAGGAAAATTTGGGTCAAGGTCCCACTTGCAAGCACAAAAAGACGTGCATACAGGTCCATGCCTAGCTCTCCCCCAGAATCACCAACACTTCGGCCTGTTGAGGCACACCCTCTTTGGGAAGAACATTCCTGATAATACTTACGAGCAAGACCAAGGCTCATTTGAGCCTTTGCAACTCCCAAAAACCATGGCAAGTTCATGTAAAATGTTGCATTGCAATTCAAATGATAGCTAAGTATAACAAATCCAGAGTCAGAATGACTACCTCAGGCAATGGCTGCCAAGGCAGAAATCATATCTGCATCACCTCCTGGATCGAGAAGCTCCACCAGAAGATAGGAGATGCGTCGTCTGCGACCAGGATGGGGTCTACAAATGTCAAGATTGTCTTGGGGAGCCACTCTATTGCACTGGCTGTTGCAGAAGTCAACATCTTTGCAATCCCTTCCATTGGATCAGTCAATGGAATGGTCAATTCTTTGAGCAAAGTTGTCTCGCTCACGTCGGACTCGTCATACACCTCGGTCATGAGGGCAAAACAATGTCCGGTACTTACGGATAGGTGGACTTGTTCGAAGAAGACGAACCGGAAGACCAGCTTGAGCCTGAAGATCTACCATCTGTGTCGGGACCCCGAGTTCCAGCCGAAGGAAAACACCATGGTCATCATTGACAAGTCCGGAGTTCATCGCCTCCGGGTTCGATGCTGCGATTGTCCAAATGCCATGAGTCCAGACCTTCAAATGTTTCGACATGGATTTTTCCCCGCTTCATTTAACAAGCCGAAGACTTTATTCACCTTCAGGGTTCTCGATGATTTTCTACTGGACAACCTTGAATGTGGGACCTCGGCGATGAACTATTACAGCAAGCTCCGGCGAATGACCTCGAGGATGTTTCCACACCTTGTACCGGTAATGCCATGTCTCTCTCATCTAAAGGACATTATATTGACAAGGCATGGGGCAAGGACCGATACCGAGAGCTCATGAGAGTCGCCCGACAGTGGAGGCAGTTGAAGACGATGAAATGGCATGGCTTCGGCCATTGTTCCGACAGCCCGAATGCAGGAGATCTCGCATTATTTTGCCCGGCATGTCCTCAGCCTGGGATTAATGTGTCCTTCTCAGGGGATGAATCACTTGATGAGTGAGTCTTCCTCGATACCGAAGTCACCTCAGCGATAATAACAACTCCAAGGTGGAAATACACCCGGTCATTTGTTATGGATGGAAATTTCAAAGCTGAACACCTGCATCCCATGAAGCCATTTGATGAAGTTTGGCTGTCGGATGGGTTGGGATTCATGGTGGGAAAGGACAGGTATAACACGCATCTTGCAGAGGCTGCCGACACTTTAGAAAAATCAAGCTGCAACAATCACCGGGCAGTAAATCAAGCAAATGCGGCTCGGCACAAGCTGGAATCCACGGGCATCGGGGGAGTAGCCTGTGCGAGACACGGTTGCTTTGTTCCTCACTCGATGGTAGATTTTCAGAAAGGCGAAAGGCAAGCCGACCCAGCCATTCGATATTCACGAGTTAACCATGCATCATTCGCAGACAAATGAACATGGACTATGCCCTTTGTGAGGCTGCCCGGCACAACATGGAAGGCATCACCAGGGCGGTCACCTTCTATGATATCAACTGTCAATACAACAAGCACTTTCGGGTTCGGGTGGATCGAAGCCGATTTCTCGAAATGGTTCCGGAATTGACCATCATTCCCGGAATCGGGTTGTGGCACATCCACGGACATCAGGACAGCTGCTATGTCCGATATGCGTCGAATTTTATCGAAGGCATCGGTCGGATTGATGGAGAGATCATGGAGACCCTATGGTCACGTCTCAACCTGATTTCCCCTGCTGCTCGGGGAATGTCATCCCCGCATCGAAAGGAATGTCTCGATTATCAGATGAATGATTCCAATTTCTGCAAGATGATCCGCATGAAAAGGACCCTTTGCCGAAAATACAAGCAGGCGAAGAATGGCATTGCCGAAAGTGAAAAGGCTTTCGACATACTCAATGAAGCAGCACCCGGCGATTCAAAGACAGAGTGGCTAGCCAGCGAGAGGATCGCTCAGTCCAGCAGAATAAATAATCCTGCGGCTATGGATGTATATGAGATTAATATCAAGAAGGGTTAGTTGACTTTGTCTCCATCAAAGTCTGATTTAATTTTGCATTCAGCACCGAGCAAAAAGGAGATCGAGCTTAGGCTACTAGAGGAGGGTAATGCCCGAAATGCAGCACCTGCTCGCAGGTCTGTGGCGACATGGATATCAATGGGGTTGGCAATTGAAGAGGCTCAAATTGCATTGCTCATCGAGGTCCGAAGGATTGGTAGAAGAACTACTGAGACACAGAAGTTAGACATCGCCCGGCAACGCGATCGTCTCCAAGGCCAGATAGATGGATTCACTCGGTCTGCTATTACGCATCTCGGAGAGGGATTTGATGCAGATGATGATCCTGAAGACTTGAACTTGGACATTCTTGATGATCTCGATGATGACTTGGCAGACTTCACCGAGACATCTGACACATGGGCAAACTCCCCTGAGCTCACTGTAATCCCATTGCCATCAAACCTCGGGGTAGATTGATGCAGACGCTGTATGGCAGACGATCTCATTCCGCTGGAGATGTCTCTTCGTGAAGGGCAGGCCAATGACTCCCTTCACAACCTCCGAATTCACTTGTGCAACAAGGCGATTCTGTTTCGAACAACAGTTAGGCAAGCCAAATCCCAGGCCCTGAAAACTCGAGCTTGGTCCCAGGTGACGTCGGTGCAGCAGGCGGTGTCCCTCCATGCCAGTATATATACGAAGACGAGGAAGCAAATGATGCAACTGGAGCCAGGGCAAGACCAGGTTCAGAAATACAAACCCCTGCTTCGAGAGCAGCTCAAAATCAGCACTGCCGTCGGCGATCCAAATGCCCGAGGTCAGCGAAACGAGTCCCTCGCTTGGTTCTGGTCAGTCGAAGTCGACCTTGGGGGTCCCAATCACTCGTGGAATGAGGAATGTGAGTTCGGGCATGCTTGATGTGTCCCGCGCTCAGCTGACAGAGTCATCCGAAGTTTACCGAGTTCATTGGCTCCGGGCAAAGGCACTACGGGATCGATGGAAGGAAGAAATGATGTTGGTCCAATTGGAGATGGATTGGACATGTAACTTTTTCTTGTGGAAAGCAACCCAATGGGGTGACAGGATGCGGGAATCATTGGTGAAACACCTTCCGGGTCATGCATGCTACTCGGGAAGGCAATCCCAAATGTATTCATTGCTGGCACAGGATGCCCAGGCAGCATTTCAAGACCTGAAGACCGGGTTTATAGATGCTCGAGATGAATGAAATTTTTTTACCAACGATATGAAACAGCTACTTTGACCCAAACATTTTAGTCCCGGGAATTGGCCGGGTCGACCCATGTCGGAGTTTGAAAATTTTTATCAGTCAACCAGTGGCTCATATCTTGACCTCCGAACCAACTGCCATTGTCATTGTCATTTCCAGCTTCATAATCCTGCATTAACCATGTCTGTATTGCATACTCCCCCAACATCCCCTTCTAATTCTCAGACGTCCGGCAATGGGTTCCGACCCCTCACACTCACTCAGGCAGATATTGCAGCTACAATGTCAATGGCTGCATCTCGCATCCGAGCGTCCATCTCTCAATATCAGATGGAGGCTGCCCACACCCAGGAGCCATCTGCTACTCGGATCACGCACTTTAAAGCCGGGCTGCAATGGGAGATAGCTGTAAGAGGCTGATGACTGTGGTGGTCGATGCTGACATTTCCAACAGACTTTTGTGACTCCCATCCTGCAGTACTCAGCTGCAAGGAACATCATTTCGGTTGTTCCGAGCCCGGTTGCTCATATTCTTCAGTTGATTCCGGAGCTCGCCTGGAACATGGTTCCGGACCACATCTTTTCATCCCACCTATGCCAGTTTCAAGATGTTGCAGATCTGGGGGATCCCTCCCGCATTGTATCCACCTATGGTACTCCATGGTGGACCGGATCAACTGCCATCCCGAACGAATTATGGCCATGGGATCAGGTATTCGCTAATTGTGTCTGTCACTACCAGCATTGGCTAGTAAGACTTTTACAGAATTTCCTTGAGTGATGACTAATCCTTTCTAGTCTGGCGTTGAGGACGAACGTCTTGTTGTTCCCGAGCAGGTGGATGAAAGCTCGGTTGCAACGCTGAAGGCACTGAGGTGGATGAGGGAACGCCTCCTGACAGTGATTGAGGATCAACAAGCTGGCATCCGTGAAAAGATGGCAGAGATTCAGATGTACACCGCCGTCCTAACCAAATTGAACCCAAGGGGACCAGAGTAGTTCTAGTCCTTCAGTTCAGAATGTTGATGTCTAAATTCTGTACATGATGAAATAAGTACTGAAAATTACATACTGACTTTCGAATATCTGACCTATTGCTATACAGTGGCTCAAAAAACCGTCCGTATGTTTTGGCATTTTTCACTATCTATAATATTGTATGAGAACAAACAAATGCCTCAAAAACATGCTTATACCACATTGTAGTATGGCTTCAGGGCTTTCATTTGAGCCCTACACCGTGGGAATCGGTGGAGATATGGTGGAGATACAAGGCTCACAAAATGGTGACTCATGCGGACAGTTTTTTGACTCAAGTATTTTACAGTAATAACCAGGTATTCTAGTATTTTGTATGACCTCCCTTGGCTTTAATTACTGCCTCTATCCTTCTAGGCATACTCTCAATTAATTTCTGGCAATCCTCAGCTGTGATCTTCCCCCATTCCACTGCTACTCTCTCCCAAAGCTCCCATACTCCTTTAGGGGGGTTTTCATAGGCTTGAAGCTTTTTCTTGAGTGTTCCCCAGAGATGTTCAATGACATTGACATCAGGAGACTGTGCTGGCCAGTCAAGAACATTGATGTTATGTTCTTCAAACCATTCCCTAGCTCTTCTGGATGTGTGCTTGGGATCATTATCCTGTTGGAAAATGATATCTTCTTCATCAATCCCTGATTCTGCCAAGCTAGGCAGCAAGTGGTCATTTAAAATGTCCACATACTGCTCAGCATTCATCTTCCCCTCAACCTCAGCAAGCATTCCCACACCATTCCATCCCATACAGCCCCATACCATTAAAGAACCTCCTCCAAACTTGACAGTCCCATTAACCTCTCTGTCTGTTAGGCCATCTCCCTTCTTTTTCCATACATACACCTTCCCATCTGACCCAATCCTATTGATTTTGGTCTCATCTGACCATATAACATGCTTCCAGTCCTCTACAGTCCAGTGTTGATGAGCTAAGGCAAAGGCTAGTCTTCTCTGCCTATGTTTGATGGAGAGAAGAGGCTTTTTCTTCTTTGTTACTGCCTTGAGATGAGCTGCCTTGAGAACATTCCTCACAGTTTGTGAAGAGACAGGGGTAGTGATGGTGGAATTGATATAATGGGTGGCTTGGACAGCATTATCAGCCTTTCCTGTAGTGATATGTTGGATAATAGCCCTTTTGTCAGTAGAGGTAAGCTTGGATGGACGTCCTCCACAAGAGTTTTCCTTGTCTGGGTGGCTTTCTTTGATGAACTTGGCCACAGTGGACTTGCATATTCCAGTTCTAGAGGAAATTTGGCGAGCAGAGAGGCCAGCATAAGACAGAGAGAGGATATTATCTCTTTGAGCAGAGGAGATGGCTTTCATGGTGATTATGACTATGATACATGAGATATTCTGGTTTATATAGTTAGATATAGTCATAAAATAACATAATGACACCACTTTATAATTTATATAATAGTGGCATGATTTTTATGGTGTCATAAATAATGATTTATATAGTTTTAATATACACTCAAAAAAACTGTCCACATGAGTCATCATTTTATAAGCCTTATATCTCCACCATATCTCCGCCGATTCCCACGGTGTAGGGCTCAAATAAAAGCCCTGAAGCCATACTACAATGTGGTATAAGTATGTCCTTGAGGAATTTGTTCATTCTCACACAATATCATAGATAGTGAAAAATGTCAAAACATGCGGACAGTTTTTTGAGCCACTGTATGCTGAGTCCTGCATACCAAATATCGAGTATCGAGATCCAGATATCTTGAGTTCCAAATATTGAGTCCCAAACATAGAGTCCCGGATATCCAGTCCCGAAGCCCAAGATTCGAGACGAGACTTGAAACTCGAACATTGCTATGAGTTGCGAGTTTTGAGTCCCCACCGAGTCCTGACAATCGAGTCCCACAGCCCGACTATCGAGTCCCAACCATCGAGTCCCAACCATCGAGTCCCGACAATCGAGTCTTGAAACCCGAGTCCTGACAATCGACTCCCGAAGCCCGAGATTTGAGTGCCGACCATTGAGTATCGAGTCCCCAATATCGAGACCCAAAACCCAAGCAGCCCGAAGCCCGAGATTCGACACGAAACAAATCAAAACTCCAAACACCACGACACTTTCTTGAATCACCGAGTACCGAAACCCGAGTACCGGGTACCGAGTCTTGAAACCCGAATCCGCACTATCGAGTCCCGACTACCGAGTCTTGAAACCCGAGTCCCGACAATCGACTCCCGAAGCCCGAGATGTGAGTGCCGACCATCGAGTATTGAGTCCCTATTATCGAGACCCGAAACACGAAGCCTGAAGCCCGAGATTCGACACTCGAAACAAATCGAAACAAAACTCAAAACATGACACTCATCAATTTTGGGAGTTGTTTTCTTGAATCACCGAGTACCGGGTACCGTGTACCGAACCCCGAAACCCGGTACTCGGTAGTCGGTGAAATCGAATATCGAGTCCCGACTATCAAGTACCGGGTACCCTGTACCGAAACCCGAAACCCGGTACTCGGTAGTCGGTGAAATCGAATATCAAGTCCCGACTATCAAGACCCGAAACCCGAATGTTGAGTATGGAGTGCCTGACATTTAGTATCATGTATTTGAAGGTGGGTACTAACACGGGTAACTACCTTTCTACTTCTTCCAATCCAACCTTGCCCATCCACACGACGGAATCCCAGCATAAACATGAACAGCATCCCTCATATACCATGCCCAGGCAATCCGATCCCCTTCCACTGCATGAACCGCGTGTCTGACAATCCTTCCCGAAAATGCAATCATGCACCCCGGATCGTACCTTAACTCCAGCTGCAGGCTTGGCATACTCATCCGAGCATTAGAATAATTCCCCACGCTAGTGAGAATATCAAAGCATTCGGAAATCGATGAGGGGTCTCGATGATTCGGGGTTTCCCGATTGCATATGACGGTGAGGCTGTTAAACACCGTTGCCCAGTACTGGAGAGTCTCTGACATCTTCGGCAGTTCCTTGCTTCGTGCCTTTTCTCCGAGGCTCGCAAAGGCCTGCAACCCTGCCCAGTACTGCTCAGGATGCATCACCCTGAGTGCCGCTGTGGCAATGGCTGCTGGCCTCGCAATGGCTTTGAGGATGTTCTCGGAGGATGGTCCCTTCAATGATGCAGATACCTCCGGATCGGACTGATTCTATGGGATTGGTGAGTTTAACTACCGAGATCGCCATGTCATCAGATCCTACCTCGTGCCCCTGCTGAAACCATGCCGGAGATAAATTAACGCATCCGGGAGTTAGGACATCATTTTCCGAGCTTGGTGTGAACCACTGTTGATTAGTCCGCCAAATCCCATCGAGCTTTATGCTTTGTTCGAGCATGGGAGCTAGCATATCCGAGGCCGCCCAAATTTCATTCTGTACGTACCATTTGATGTTCAATATCCATCCAGTCACAATATATATAACACACCTGGGTGGCATCGGTCAAGGCGTCTGGGAGGTACCATGCGATGATGGCACCGGATGCATCAAGAATTGTCGCGGGTATGTCGATCAACTTTGTGCCCTCATGGCCAGGAGGACACCTCTCGAGCAACTTTTCCTCTCTCTCTTCATTACGCCCCGTGTCCTTTGGGGAGATCAATTTGCTATATCTTGCAATATCAATCGGCATTTGAACTGTGATGAAGCAATTTGACTGATAAAACGAATTTTCCGAATCTGCAGGAAGACTCACTGGGATTTTTATATGCCTTTATGAGCCGATCAACCAATTGATCACAAGCCATCACCAGATCAGTGTCTAGGTTTGGAGAAGGTATAACTGGGTCTCCTCCTGTCTTCTCTGCATTGAATTTCTGTTCCGTATAATCACATGCCACATGAGTGACAGTCAGGGCCCAAGTGCGCAAGAGGGTTATTTCATCATCGGAAGTGGAAGAAACATCCATGATTGAATTGATCTTGTGAGATCAGAAGCTGAATCCTGAATGTCCGCACTTTGGTGTTAAAGGGGGTGGAGATTGAGAGGATCAGATAAGGGAGCCTTGGATGATCTGAGCTTTCAAAGATCTATTTCTCTTATCATCTATTGCTCAATGAAATACCACATGATTGGAAGTCTGTTGGATGTCAGATACTCGTTTGTCGAGACCCGGGCCTCGGATCTCGGTACACTTCACTCGATTTTGATACCCGGGACACCATAGTTGGAACTTGTCTCGAATCTCGGGTCTTGGGCGTCGGGTCTCGGGTCTCGGGCATCGGGTCTCGGGTCTCGATGGTCGGGACTCGATACTCGATTGTCGGGATTCAATGGTCAGGCGTCGGGTTTCATGACTCGGTAGTCGGGACTCGATGGTCGATTTTCGGGATTCGATAGTTGGGGCTCAGATATTGGTACACTTCACTCAATTTTCGGTGGTCGGAACTTGGCATTTGGCATTTGGTAGGCTTGGATGATGTTGGCTTTCAAAGATCTATTATCATCCATTGCTCAATGAGATACCAGATGATCGGAAGTGTGCTGGACATCACATATTTGTTTGTCGAGACCCGGGTCTCGGAACTCGGTACACTTCGCTCGAGTTTCCACTTCACCCCTTTGCAAAGCTCCGTGCCATACCACATCATTAGATGACTTTGAATAATCACCTCCTTTGATTTGGATGATATACAACTAGCTGAGCTCCATCATGTCTACAATTATCATTCTCCTGGGCCCACCCGTCTATCTTATATACCCCCACATCGGCCTACCCATCTATGCAATATATGTCTCCCGTCGGCCCACCTGTATATAATACATCTTTTACCGCTCCCTCGGCCCACCCGTCTACAAAATAATATTAATTCGTCGGCCCACCCGTCTAATATGATATATATCTGGGCCCACCTGTCTATGTGATAACAAGCACCCTTGATATACCCGGCTATTTGATACATATCTACCTTGGTACACCCATCTACATAATATCCAACTACCTCGGCCGATCCGTCTATTGAAAATTCATGTCCATCGGCCCACCCATCTACTTTACATATTCCCCACCTGGGCCCACCCGTCTCCATCGGGAATAATAACACTCCCGGCCCATCCGTCACAGTCGAGGATATATCTACCCTCGGCCCATGGTCCGCTGGCCCGTATCATACGGGATATTATGCACGTCCGTCCACTCGTATAATACGGAGATATGTTACTGCAATATGTGACAGTGGTCTGTACAGGTGAAGATGAGTTTGGTATTGACACCAGCTTTTGCTTTGGCTGCTCATCAGCAGCCGGAACTTATGGAGGTCTTGCCAATGCAGGCGCTGACCTACTCCGCAGCGAAGGCATTGGCCCACTCTTGAAGTGGGTTGATGACCATCTCTTCTTCCACATCCTCCTCAAGTACCTTGAGAGGTACAACAAGCAGAGAGCGCTCTGGGCCAAGGGAATTAGAACCAATGGAGGCCTGCGCATCACCGGGGGAAGAAAATGGTACTGTGGCACCCTCCTCCCAGATGACACGTCCGAAGAATTCAATGAAGACTGTATCTTTCCTATCTGCAACCTCTCCAAACAGTCCCCACACTCTCCTCAAGATGAAAAATTCTCGTGCTGCCTGGACGACATCGACTTCTATTCAGTCGAAATGGGCACACCTTGGTAACCGGCAAAAGACACCCCATTCAGCCCATCACCCCCTTTCACAGGCTTCACCTGGGACCTTGATGCCTGCATGATTGAAATCCCGTCAAACAAAAAAGAGAAGTACCTGGCTGCTATATTATCCTGGGAATCCAAGCCTCGCCACACGCTCACCAAAACCCAACAGCTATTCGGTAAACTCTTACATGCTTGCCTCGTTGTTCCTGCCGGAAGAGCCTACCTCACAGAATTGGAAGCCATGCTCCCCATCTTCAGTAATCACCCTCACGTGCCACATTCCCCACCCCAGAACTGTGCAGCTGACCTCAGATGGTGGCTCGCAACCCTACACCAACCCTCAGTCAGCTGTCTCATCCCAGGCCCATGCGAAGTCTTCAACCCTCAAGCCTTCTCAGATGCTAGCTCAGGCGTGGGCGTCGCTATTTGGATTAATGGCTGGTGGAGAGCATGGCATCTCATCCTTTCCACCAGCCTTCAACAACTCCCCAATTGTCTCCATAAACCTTAATGTAAGGTATTGGTCTGGATTCAAGGGAATGGGTGATAGTGAGGACGAGGAACTTGAAACCAATGGCTTCTGCCCATCCAATGTCGCGGTTGTCATCTTTCCAGCCAGGGACGCGGTTGCAATCATCTGACCAACGGTGTCTTCAAACGCATACATAACATCACCGAATCTGCATCCTGCACTATCATCACTCGCTACATCCCCAGTGCCCTTGGCCAAGCCGATGACCCGTCCCGCAGAAAATACCCTCTTCACTCCCTACTTCTGCCCCCCCTTCCTATCCATCCCTCTATCAGGGACTTCATCATCGACCTGAATGCCCCTCTATGCGCAAATGAGACCTGCCGTCCCTACTCCAACCTCCTGATTCATGTCCCCCCTAAATCCCGTCTCCAGACAGTTGATGCAGAATGCGCCCTCACAAATGCCCAGCTCGAAAGAGAAGGAGAAGAGCTCCTCAAAATGTCACAAGCATAGTATGTCCCTCCCTGCTCCTACAAACTAGCAACACATAACTAAAACTTACCACTCACCCCCAGATTATCCGACTGACCTGACCCCAATCTCCTCAGCCCTACGCCCACACTGCGCAGTGAAAGACCAGCTCTGATTGTGGTTACCATTTGCCCCAAGACACGCCCCTGGTGCTCTTGTCCCTAGTGACATGTCCAGAATCCAAGACATCATGCTTTTTGCCTGGGCCGAGAGTACCCGAGAGTCCTACGGCTCTGGGCTACTGGTCTTTCACGTATTCTGTGACTCCCGTTCAATCCCCGAACCAGAACATGCCCCCGCAGACTCTACACTCATTTCAACATTCATTGCCATTGCAGCAGGTTCATATTCCGGGAAAATGATAGCCAACTATGTCTTTGGAGTATGCACCTGGCACATCCTCCATGGCATGCACTGGGTACTCAACAATGAGGAGATAGATGAACTCCTCAAAGCCACTGAGAACCTAACACCCACAGCATTGAAGCGCAAGAAGAGATGCCTGTACACCACTGAATTCATTTGTGCAATCCATGACCAATTCAATCTACAATCCCCCCTCAATTCAGCAGTATATAGTTGCCTCACTACCGCATTCTACTGTACAGCTAGACTCGGTGAATTCACTGTCCCTGTTACAGTCAAGTACGCCCCTATTCATTTTCTCTTCTTACCTTGTATTACGTCACGATCGCCATCATGAGCTGTCGCTAGACTTCTCTTATTACCAGTTGTATTACACCACGATCACATTATGCTGTCGCTAGGTGATCTATTCTTGTTATCTCTGACTCATTCTTATCTCTGACTCATTCTGACTTCATCATACCGGCCCTAAAGCAGTTATCTTTCACTATATAAACTCGCTCTGTACTATGTAGTTCTTTACTTCAATCTTACTAGGTTTTACCTGGAACTTCCTTCACTTAAGACCTCCAATCTTAAGTCGTCTGAAACTTGATTCAAGCCAAGGACACCCTCCTTGTCTTGTCTTAGTGAACCATCAAACTTTGGCATACTGCTGAAGCCTTGAACTGACCTTGGCCTATTACTCTTACCAAGTAGCCATACATCAGAACCACCCTAATTCGTAACAAAAGATTAAAGTCTTTCAAGCGAATACATCGCTATCACGCACTGTAACCCAGAAAGAAGAACAAATCCTGGTCATCACGACAGATAGAACTCCAGGTCCCTCGAAGCTAAAACAAGCTGACATCATTAACACCAATCTTTGGCGCTTTGAACCTAGGTGCTGTACTGCCCATACCACCTTTGAACCCCCCAATGTCTTCCTCCAAACCCGTTGAAATCAAAATCGGATCTCCACCAATCTTCGATGGAGATAGAGACAAGTTGGATGGATTCCTGATGTCGTGCACATCTTACCTCAATATCAACGAGAAGATCTATGTCGACGATAAGCAGAAAATTATTTTCGTAACCTCCTTCATGAACGAAGGGAATGTGCGTTACTGGAAGGAAGATTTCCTTAGGCAAGCACAAGATCCTAACAACAAGAACACTGCAGGAACCGCCAAGGGATATGGCACCTGGGTTGAATTCCTCGCCGATTTCAAGAAAGCGTTCAGACCGCTTGATTCCTCAGGAACCGCGTTAGCCAAGCTTCGCAACCTGAAACAAGGAACCAAACTCCAAGACTATATTTCGGAGTTCTTGATGCTCACGCAAAGGGCAGGAATTCGCGACGATGTTTCTAAGAAGCAATTCTTCCTAGACGGATTACACCCAGGGTTGCTCGCTCGCCTCTATGGCACGGGCGATGTCTCTGACAACTTTGAGGTCGTCATCACCACCTGTATCAACCTCGACAACGCACGCCTTCACCTGAATGCAATCAGAGCGCACCACCAACCCCAGAAGAAGAAGAGCTTCGGATCTAACCGATACATACCATCTAAAGATCCTAACGCCATGGTGATCGATCGGCTTTCTGAAGAAGAACGCGCTGAACATTTCCGAACCAGAAAATGTTTCACCTGTCACAAGACCGGGCATCTTTTCAAGAACTGTCCTGAGAAGAAGAAAGGAAAGACCCTGATACGCCGCAAGGAAGTAGAAAGCAGTGACGAAGAAGAAGAAGCAGAAGTCCGTCGTCTCAACGAGGATTTTTGATATGGGAGACTGGATCAACAGTCAGTATCTCTTGATGTACCCATAAGACTTGTATGAAAAGTTGGTGAATGAAAAGAACTTCGGGTTCCCCTTTCCCTAATTTTGAAAACATGTCTGAAAACCGTTGAAACTACCGCAGTTGTTGACTCCGGAGC